ACACTCAGGAAATTTCAAGGAACCCACTCTAAACATACCAGACTTCCACAGTGAAAACTTTTAAAGTATTTTAATGCAAATGTTGACACTGCAAATGAAAAATAAGGAAATACATATTATATGTGATAAATTCATAAATGTATGAGTGTAAAGGATATATTTTCTGAGATGTAAATTATTAGAACTTTAAAGATGATTCTTTTGTAATAGGAATGATACATTAACAACCTATTAGGAAATAGACCATAACATTGTTGGGAATAGTAAATTCTTAATGAAAATCTTAAAAGCACCTGCAGAAGGGAATAAGCTTTCACAGTGCACTATGATTTTGTTGTACAGTCACTGATGATTATTCTGTCTTAAAGAAGCCAAAGTACTTTTGCAGCCAATTTTATCATCCATGCTTCTGAAAAGTCCTGACTTGCATCTTTCTTCTAATGTGTCCTAAATCTGATGGCTCTGTGGATATTATCCTTCCTGTTGTTACTCATCCAATACAAAAACTGCATGACCAGTGTAATTCTTAAAAGTGAAATAATTTTACAGACCTTTGCACTGCTAACACGAAAGAAGTCCTAGGCACTTCCTGGTTTTGGTGCCTTTTCCAACAGATACATGAGTGTTCAAACAACTTAATGGTGTGCCCAAGAATTTTGAGCATTGCCAGAAAACTAAAAAGCTTTAATGAAGAAAAGCCATCAGAGTGTTGAGGGGGAAGTAGCAGAGTAAAGGAAAAAACTATCCACTGGATCAGAGTGCACTTTGCTCTTTTAATGTACTGCATTTTTATTGCTCTCTCTTCTTTCTTTTATATTTTATTTTTTAACACATGGAGCTTTATAATTTTCCTTGCCTTTTCTTCATAAAGATATTCTTTCTGAAAGCCTTCAGTGTCTAGAATGTACAGCTTCTAATTTGAGAAGTAATAAAATAGTTATAATTAAGTGTATTTCAAGTAATTAATGATGTTTAGCTAGGTATGACAATCCTTCCTCAAATTTCACAATTATATGAATATCCCTATTACCCAAACTGACTTTCAGATTTAAAAAAAAAAACAACCCTCGAAGGAGAGGATCTTTTCAGTTGTTCCAAAACAGGAAGCCCTAATCTTAAGTTTTCTGATGTTTCTTTTTAGCTGTGAACTGCTCATTGAAAGATTGATTCACTGAACACTCGTGAGTCTTGACAGCTAGTCCAAAAGACAGCATTAATGCCAAAACCTTTATCTTAGGTACAGTATATTAATTTTCAAGAGGAAGGCAGAACAATAATAAAGTGATTTATTATTTATTGAGGTATAATGTTTCTGCTTGAAGGTCTATCAGTAGATTAATAAAATTTATTGCAAAGGCTCAGTGTTGACATCTAGTCATCTAGCATCATAGAAAATGCCTTTCTTAAGTTTGTAATTCCTTCATTTAGTTTCTAAGCTATACTGTATTTCCATGTGCAGAATATTTGCAATTTTTCACATAGGATCCAGAAAGTAGAAGAGGAGATGTATGCATTAAGGTGTTTAGTTAGCAGGGTGATTTGGTATAGTGCAATTGTTGCAAATCTACAGTATTTCTAAAAATAACGTTTATCTTGTTAGAATCATAAGAAATCTAATCTTACATGCTTGCAGGATAACTAGCAAAGTAGGGATTAATTCCTGTTCCTGTTGAGGATTTTCAGGTACAGGACCGCTAGTGAAAAAAAGTGTTGGTGCGATGTAGACAAGATTCCTGGAAGCAGTGGGCCACAGTGGCAGACTAATGAATTGCAAATGCAGGTGGGAGATTTTTCCTTACCCACTCGGAGTAAAAAAATCAAAGGAAGTATTACCATTAAAGGGAGGTCTATTTCATGCCTTTGCAACCTTGCTCCCTAATCAGTAAGTAATCATTAAGATAAAATATAAAGAAATCATAATTGTTACATCAATATGACAGTAATTGTTCTTTAATCCCAGAAACTCATAGGATGAATGTGTTCTTATAAAAGAATCAAAATGAAAGCTGAGAAGCAAAACATGTTGTTTTCTAGCCACTTGCTGAGCTAACTTTCCATGATGAAATATAATCCTGTCTCAACCTTATATGGGAATCTTCTACTTATACTTATGCTGTCTTGCCAAAATACGTCTCTCCGTGACTTTGTATTTTAGCATATCTGGCTCCCACTTGATGCTGAAAAATTAGTTTTTCTTTCTGCCTTCCAGCAGAAAAGGGAGAGGTAGGGTTAATTTAAGGAAAGTTTTGGTTTTGTGAGGTTGGCTAGAACTGCCAATTTTAATCTCTTCCTCACTGTAGCATATTAGGAACCAAGCTAGTATTTCTCCTGAGTATAGGCAGTGTCAGATACGCAGCCTTGTGGTGCACAATTGCAATGTAGGTAATGTCCCAATTTGAGTGTGTACCTGTTTGTAAGAGTGAGCCCTTGTTGTGAAGGAGTTGTTCATTTGGGTTTTTTTAATATTGTCTGTATTGTCAGTGCTGATATTGGAATACCAGTACATTTTTCATTTCCGTAATTTTTTCCTCTGTTCTACAAAAAAAAATAATAAACCTCTATTGGCACAAGCACTACACATTTGGTTGAAAATGTTTGTGTTCTTGTATGTGCTAGTCATGCATATGCAAGCACCTAAAATTAGTACTGGATCAACATTGAAATAAATCTAGCTGATTTAATTTCAATGTGTGGAGCTGCTTGGTGTGCATTTGGAGTTCTCCAGCCAGCAATTTTTAACGTCCTAGAAAATCATAATCACTGCATGCATGCACAGTATGCAATCCTAAGGCTGCTGCTTTAGATAAGCTTGAATTTATGAAAGGTACCAAAGATGCATATTGAGGTCTCAAGATGAGATCAGTGTATCATGGTTACATGTATTAATCTTACATATAACATACTCATTTTTCACTGAATCCTATGGTCCTTTTTTTTGCAGCTGCAAGAAACAGCTTTCAGACTATATAAGTATAACCTGTGTTAATCATTGCCTCAGTCAACAGAAGGTTTGAAGTTCCAGCTATAGGGAGACACCCTTCATTTCAGAGGATATTAATTCATGTATTTAGATGAGATTTTTTTTGCCTATCAAAACTGAAGAGAGAGGAAATGGATAATAAATTGTGCTTTTCAGTTCATGTTTATTTTCTGAAATAGCTTGAATGTTTACTCTCCTTTTCCTGTATGGACCTCTCTATTTCCTGTCTAATAGCTCCTTTACAATTCAGTAAACTTTGTATCAGACCACACTTTAATATTCAGATTTTAACTTCTCTGAAAAAGTTGACCATGGAAATGCCACTTTACATCTTCTTCCAACACATGTATGTAGTTAAGTACAGATGTGTCTCATTCCTCTAGTTTGTATTCTATTACTCAGAAAAAAAATTTGAGAAAATTCAGCTCCAGCTCTAACATTCTCAGAAAAGTGTGATCACTGTGGAACAGTTTTTTAAGTGAATTCAGATTATAATTATTAAATATTACTGAATTAGGTATAGAGATCCATAAAGTAATATTTTGATATATTTATTTTGGCAATATCACATGAGATTTAGGGGAGGGGAAGGGGCTTAAACTGATTTTAAGTAAATTAAGCATTGCGGTCCTGAAGATAAACCCTCTAGGTAGAACAATAAGGTAAGTCTGTTTATTGTGGTGAGTAACTCTTGGTGTTCATTTAATCTCTTTATTGTTATTCCCAACTTTAAAAGCACATCTACAACTTTTTAAGTGGTAGGTAGTGAAAAATAAGTCTGGGGAATAGGATTCTATAAAAAAGAAATCAATGGAAAATTGAGAAAGCTCTTTTTACCGTGCTGTTCAAGTGCCTGCAAAAAAGACTGCAAGGAATAGCTTGAATTCTTGCAATTAGTTGAATTGTCTGTAAGAGATACTTAGTCTTGCCAACACATGTAGTGTTCCTATAAACATATCAGGAAATCTGATGAGGAGTCTGAAGGTACTCTGTTTTGGTGGATAATGTGAAGTGCAGTGAAGATACTTCTGTACAATCCTTAGGAGATCCATGTTGAAACTGCAGCTTTCCTTACAGTTAACTATGATTTGTACTGATGCTAACATATTAGCATTCTCAATAGAGATAAGGATTCACTGATTTAAATGGTCATAGTAAATGTTATGTGTTGGTTTTTTTTTTAAATAAACCGAAGTGGTTTTACTCTAATGTTAACTGTTGTGAGGCTGCAGGATGTTTTCAGTAGCAGAGTGCCCAATTTAGTAATTCTCCCAAATGTCACATTTGCTTGAGTAAAACTGGAAGAAGAGGAGGTAAGCCTCCATTTGGTGTTTAGTTTTGCATTTGAAGATGAGAGACAAGCCATCCTTCTAGGGGTAAATGGCTGTATCTTTAAATTATCTGCCAGCTCTTCCCTGTCATTTAGGTGTACCCTGTATCACATATGCCATAATATTCACAATTGTATTATAGTATTCTTTCTCTTATTTCATTAATTTTTATATATTCATATGGATTATTTAATGAGTAATAGTTTGTCACTTTGATAGACAATTCTAATTTTCCAGAAAACTTACTTGTTCTCTTTGGAGTCATGCATTTTTCTGAAAATGTAAATTCCATGAAGGGTACTACTGTTAAGCTAATTTGTATTCCAGGTAACCATTTCCTGAACAAACTAGCTGGAATAATATTGGTTGAATTATTGAATTTATTGGCACAGCCCTAGCTTTAACTGCGTTTCCAAACGTTCCATGGTCTCATTGTTTGTTCTCATGCATGTTAACATTTAAAACTGTGTTCTGATGGTCTAACTCATTTATGTTACATTCTGTACTGGATATTATGTGCGTATGTTTTTAACACTCTAGTACTGGAAAAGTGTATTTGTTGTGCTTAAGAAAACAAGACTCTGGACTTTCCTGGCTTTTAAAATCATCTAACTTAAGATGTCGTGGTAAATAAGTATTGTTTCTGTATGTAAATTTTAGTGCATGTTACATATACTTTTTTCCTACAGACATTGATGATGCTCAAATTCTTCCACGTCCACCTCGAGTCAGACATTTTTCACAGAGTGAGGATGCTCCAAGTGAAGTTTTTGGTGCATTAAATGAGGAACAGCCATTGCCACGAAGCAGCAGCACCTCTGACATCCTGGAACCATTCGCAGTTGAACGAGCCAAAGGTGCAGTTCCTGTCATTGACAGTTCATCCCATCATGCTCCAAGCTTACAGAGTTCCACTGAGACCTCTTCAACTCATAGATCCACTGAAAGCCATATCACTGATACAAATAGCAGAGAGTCCTCCTTGGAAGTTGGGGATAGTATTTATGACCATCTTTGTCATTTAATAGGGCCAGTAGAATTTGCAAACACAGCCTTTGAACAAAGCCATTATGTTGACCTCGAAGGTGAAGACGATCTCCTTTCTTCTCTGAGAGAATATCTTAAAGAAAAAGAAGAACTTTGCGGTAACCTTGAGATAGATAAATGTGAGGCTTCTGCTCACGAAGTTGATACACCAGTAAATAGGAATGATAGATTACCACTGGATGGATTAGAAAATAGAGATCAGACTGGTCAATGTGTGAATAGCATCACTGTCACAGAAAGAGCCGATAATACAGAGCTGCACCTAGAACAAAACCAAAGTGGCTTTATAAGTAATATTCCACCTACTCAAGTAGACATTTTGACAAGAAACCAAGCGCTCAATAAAGCCAGACAGTTAAATATTGATAAACAGTATGAAAGTGTGTTCAATCATGGGTCAAGTAGTCCTAGCAACAAAGAAGGGAAGAGATACCTGTACAGGCAAGCAGCAACTGAAACTGATGTAGATATAGCTGTGGAAGGAGCAGTAGCTGAAAAACATAGAAGTGCCCAGTTTAATGAAAAAGTAACCAACTCCCGTGTTATGCATGCAAAGAAAATTCTTCCTAAAGCACAAGTTAACCCTCAGATGGCTCACATCACAGGCACAAGCAAACTGTCACCAACAAAAAGGAGTATATCTGAAACAGTAACTCATAGGGCCAAAATCATGAAAATAACAACTAAAAAAAGAAATAGTGTTCATGTTACCTTTAGGCCATCTACAGAATCAGTTCAATTTTACAATCCTCTTGAGAGCAAAGAGGCCGCTTGGAAAGCAAGACTTCGTAAACTCAGTGGCTTCAGTAGTAGCAGTAGTGGTAGTAGCAACAGCAGTACGAGTGCCAGCACCAGCTCGTCAGCTGGCACGGAGCTGGTTAGACCTGGAATATATAGACCTCTAGATGCAATCAATGCGGCTTCAGCTGGGAGCAAGCAAATTAAGGAATCTACAGAAACTCAAGCAGCCATCTTGCAAAAAGAAGGAATTGCAGTTAATCATAGTCGTAGTGCCTTTAGAGCATCAGGTCAGGAGTCAGTGCAACAGCAGGGCTCCCTAGGTGGTGTTTATAAAACTGTTGTACATGCTCTTTCGAAGCCGAAGGCAAATGTTTCCCCACAGAGACAGAACAGAATGCCAGCAGAGGCTCCACTGAGGGATCTGTACAGTCATGTAATGGGCTATTTTGGAAGGAAAGCTGCAGGTGAGCGCTAACAGTGTGCAGAGTGCAAAAGGAGAAAGGCAGCACCAGTTTGGCTTAATGCGACTGAAGCAAGCTCTGATAAGCAATCAAAAGGCTTTGGGATGATCACTGCTTTCCCTGTTTGGTTATGCATGCGCCTACAGCCAGCTGATTTTTCCAAGCATCAGTTACTTTTACATACTTTAAATTACTAATTTTCCTTTTCAAGATATTTAGTTGAACCTCTTTGCTGCTGAATACCATCAGGTTAGGGAAGAGGAAGAGACAGTAAATGACCTAATAAAGGATTAAGCTTTGAGAGTTTGGAATATCCATCCTCTGTGTAGAGCCTTAAAATTCAGCCTACTGAATGATTGGCATAAGCATATTTTATTAGAATATGCTATTCCACTCTGAGTGTTGTTTGTCAGAAGGACCTGGCTCTACCAGCTAGGTTGAGCTAATTGTATTTCTGGTTCATTTAGTGTGTTTTCTTCTTCCTCCTCATCTCTTCCTCCTTTTCCTCCTCCAAAACAAGAAGGTCCCTCAAATTCACATTTGAAGGTCAGTTTAGATAATTTTTAAAAGTAGTATTAAAAGAAATCTACTACTGGAACAATTTCATGATGACAGTTCTGAGTCTGATCATAAGGTTTTGTTTTAATCTCTTTCAAAACATGCCTGGAGGTCTTTCCGTATTCATTCATCAAAATGGATGCAGTTACATCTTGGCAACATCTTTCATTGCTTTCTTTTTTCTTGGAATCATGGATGTTCATGAAGGTCTCATGATAGTCCCTTTCCTGCTAACTGTGAGACCTCTGTGGACTGATCAAAAAATGAAGGCTGTCGCTCTAATATCCATTGTTCTAGCTCATATCTTAAATAACCTTACGTGAACAATGACTTAACTTTCAGCAGTAATGTAGGTTTTCTTTTTCCCTGTTGTTATGCTGGCATGATTAACAGATGATTCAGTAATGCATCCTGCATCGAGATGTTAATGCCACCTGAGGGCAGTCTTTGTAAGCATAGCAGCACAAGAGTATGACTGTCATGCGTCTCAAAAAAGCTATTTGGTTCTCTGCAGAATCTTGACTTCTGAAAAAGAGACATATAGAAAGCACTAATTTTAGAAGTACATTTTATTTTAAATCTAACATTTAACAGAGCCTGAATATTAGAATAAACTGCACTGTGGTCTCATGAAAGATGTCACTGAGGGAAAAATTCTTACAGAGAAAACATAAACTGGAATAGAATGAAGACTTCAGAGGTAAAGATCATGAGCTTAGGTGTAACAGCCACAGTTAAATATGAACAGTATAATATTAAAAACACAACACTGATAGATGAGTGAATGTAACTAATTGTTCATAACCATTGACCATCCAGAGTATGAATTTTCATTCCATATAGTAGTACATAATTCTTATTATATAAGATTTTCTTTGCACTATTTATACTAACTGTGTATGGTGCCAGATTGACATTTGTCGTTAGTCCATACTACAGCCTGGGTAACTTTTCCCACTACGTTGGAATGCAATGAAGGAGCCTATAGGAATCATACAAATTTTTTAGGATTTATCACTTATTTTCTGTGATATGGAGGAAGAATATATGCTGTATCCTTAAAAAGCATTAACAACTTTGAGTAGTGCTTACCTATAAGCTTCTTGCTCTTAAAGGTGGTACTGGAAATCAACTAACCCCTGCTTAGTGGGAAGAAGAAGCTGTACTAATTCTTAAAGTAGAATATGCTTTAAAAGAGGGAGATTCTTAAAATGCATGTTTTGCAATTTTGAGGGTTTTTTTTACTTCTGTTAATTAGGATTATTTATTTTTCCATTTTTTAACCTTTTGTTTTGAAAATGCCTCAATGTATTCTTTACTATATACAGTTATTCATTTGCTTTTAGCTAATAGAGAGGACATGAATCAAAAGCTGCACCCTATTGATAGTGATATTGGCAGTAGCAATACAAACGTTCCTGACCTCATGGATGAATTTATAGCTGAGAGACTCCGCAGTGGTAGTGCACTGGTAAGCCTTTATGCTTCCTCCATTTCAATATGTAAGTCTGTATATATGCCTGAACTCATCAATGATGTTATGAATCAGTTCACTAGAACACATTTTTCTAGATTTTGAGAAAGAGAAAGAAGTAAGAATATCAGAATTATTCCTTGTCTTTGACATAGATTCATGCCATTTTATGCCATTTGTGTTTTTGTATTTATTAAATCTTCATTGTGGAAGCAGTGCAGAAGTAACTATCAGATTAATAGTCTCATTGAATTAACTAGCCTTAACTGTACCTGTAAAGATCTTTGTACACTAACATTCTCAGAAGAATAGTTTATATGTAAATTTTCAGTCTTTGGTGTGGTATGTAGGTAGGAGTCACACTGTAGTGTGGTACTATTTGCTACAGGTATAGTTGGTGCACCAGTATAGTCCCTGCAACAGACAGCGAAACTACACCAGATACGTCTTTCCTTCATTTTTTTATTTCACTTACAAGTGTTGGTTAATTTCTTGTAAATAGTTCTCTGCTAATTGAACCAACTTTTCTTAAACTTTCTTCCTACACTTCCAAAAGGGTCATGTTATTTGGAATGGCATTCATAATGAGAAATTTTAATCAATTTTAAGTCAAGAATTTCTACTTACTGTTGAATGCTTACAGAATGAGACAACTGATTTGTAGAGATAAAAGTGTTCTGTTAACTAGCAATTAAAGGGAAAAAAAATAAAAATGTTGCAACTGAAGAGTGGGTAACAATTTAAATGTATCATTTCAGAGTTGTTCCATTCTTTTTTTCTGCTTACAATTTTAATTCCTTTTTTTTTTCATAACATCAAGTGGGTTAGTTTTTGCTAATAAAGAGCAGAAGATTACTAAGAAAAAGAAAACTAAGATTAGTTTTAGGTTGTTACATCTGTTTATTTCTAAAACCTTGTATCATGAGAAGCTTGGCAGTGTGAGTAAATCTCTGAACAGTAGTAGAGTAGTAGAAAAATGGAGAAGTCAATGGGCCTGATGTAAAAGGAAGTAATCTTCATTTTCAATGCATAAAGATTTCAAGCTATTTCATAAAAATGGGTTTTCTACTTTTATCTCTCTTTCCTCTCATGCAAACAGTCCTATCTATGAAAAAAAAAAAAAAAGGGCTTGAAGATTCCAAATAGAACAGTGCAATACTTTTACATGAGCAAATCAATATGCCTTATTTCTGCTATGTGCTATCTTTGGTGTCCGAGTCAATAACAAGGTTTTGGCTTAATCATATGAAAATTAATAAATGAATTAGTGAATTAATTTGCTTGTGATGCACATTTAATTTTTGCTTATATTATAGTAGTCCATAGGCCAGAAAACATTTTTTTCCGCTTATGTCTGGAACCATGGGTAACATTTTTTCTTTAGTATTTTAGACATAATCTGGAAAAAATATACTTTTTTACTGTTTTTCTCTCACAAGCCTTACCTAATGCATGTGGGCCACATGCTAGTCTGACTCCTAACCTTTTAATGTATGTGCCCAAAAATTAATTGTGCAAGTAAAATTTGTATTTATGAAATTCTGTGACTGTGTAGGTTCTTCGCTTTCTGCTGCCTGTCTGCATGTTGGAAAGTCTTGGCCACGTATGTAGCAGGAGGACAGTTTCTGGTTTAGGTACTTGTGAACTTTTTGCAAAGGTGGGATTGCTTTTGCCATTTTATACAAATAACCCATCCAGGGTTGTAAGATAATTTATGTCTCTTCAATGTTTAGAATGTGACAAGAAGAGGAAGCAGTCCTGGCAGCCTGGAAGTTCCTAAAGACCTTCCTGATATATTGAACAAACAGAACCAGATGCGCCCTATAGATGACCCAGGTGTGCCTTCCGAGTGGACATCGCCCGCCAGCGCGGGCAGCAGTGACCTCATCAGTTCTGACAGCCACTCAGACTCATTCAGCGCCTTCCAGTATGATGGCCGCAAGTTTGAAAGCAAGTACATTTTTCCCAAAGTAACAGCATTTTGGATTGATAGCTTTTTTTTTTTTGACAGTTGTTTTCCAGCAGTTTTCTGTAAAGACAGCTGATTTTGATTTCCCATTGAAAACACTAGTGAGTTAAGAAAGCAAGCAGAGTTCTTGAGAGAGCCTACTATGTTTAGAGTGCACTAAACAAAACAGCACTGAAATACTACTGTGGAAAAAGCAGAATAACATTGAACAGAAGTTAGGAAACGATATTGTCTTCTCCCTGGAGCAATCCGTCTGTTTTGCACAAAATATGAAAATGAAAGTTTACTTATTTTGGGAGTTATTTTAATTATTTTGAACATATTTAGATAAAACGTAGAGACTTCTTCTAGGAGCATGTAGTGATAGGACAATCGTAGTGGTTTTAAGCTGGAAGAAGATAGATTTAGATAGGATATTAGGAAGAAGTTCTTCAGTGTAAGGGTGGTGAGACACTGGAACAGGTTGCCCAGGGATGTTGTGGATGCCCCATTTCTGGAAGTGTCTAAGGCCAGGTTGAATAGGGCCAACATGATCTAGTGGGAGGTGTCCCTGCCCGTGCAGGGGGGTTGGAACGAGGACAATCTTTAAAGTCCCTTCCAACCCAAACCAATCTGTGGTTCTATGATATTTTTACAGTGGTCTTTGTGTCGCTATAGATTAATCAAGATACAAAGTGTAGTATCACGGTAAAATTAGTATGTTTCGTTAAAGTAAGTATGCTTTGTGTAATAACATAATGCTTTTCCCTCATTTCATTTACCTATTCTCACTGTTGTTCAACAGAAGGGATTGGTAGGGTTGCTAGGAGTTATGACTTCATGTATCATGTAAGACAGAAATAATGTTTATATGGTAGAATTTAAGGAAGAAATTAAAATGTTTAGATATTTAGATTTTATGCAACTAAGTGATGGTATTTAAACCTACATTTCAGCATAACATTTTTTTCTTCAGCATTGAAAAAGCCGTTTCCTAGAATATAATTTGCCATAATATTTTTAGTTTGAAGTTAATGCTCTAACAACCAGCTTGGATATTTCTTGCAGCTTGTAATTTTGGAAATAAATTCCCTAATGTATGTTTTAATTATTTTTACTTTTTTCTCATGTAGGTACACTTACAGCAACTAAGCAGAATACATGACATGCTATTGAATGTCTTCTCCACAAGTACAGTCACAGTTTTGTAACAGAAATGAGAATATTCTTAATAGTTACTTTCTGCTTCTACATTTGATGTAGATTTTGCAACAGTGTGTTAGTAACATAGGAGATGCACGTACAAGTTTTCCATGGAGTATTTTTGGAGGTCCCGGGTATTCATTTTTTATTTTAGTGATATTTTTAGGCTGTAAGTTAATAATATGCTTTCCTCATACAGATTTCAGCTTTGGCACGGAAGCAGGAACACCAGCTTCCACTGACGTTGATGCAATTTCAAGACAGCAACAGAGTGCTGAGGAGCAGGAAGTGGCCAGTCTAACTACACTCCACATAGATTCAGAAACAAGTAGTCTCAATCAGCAACCATTGTCTGCAGAAGCAGCAACTATCACTGGTAAAGTAGTTAAAAAAAACCCAACTCTTAAAAAAGCATTATTTCAGAAATCATCTATCCATCCTCAAGAATGCAAGTTCCTGCCTCTGCAATGAATCTGTATTCTATATAAGATGATTCTTGGATTTCAGTTCTTTTTTTAATGCTTTTGAAAAGTAATGTGTGAAATAACAGAAATTGAAAACCTTTGTCTGACTTAGTTACCCATATGATCCTTGGCTTGGTACCAAATGTATTTAAACCCTTCATGAGAAAATCTATACAATTACCAGGGAGAAAGTTCTTACTACATAATGCATGCTGGATCTCTGACGAATGTTCTTTTAATACTGATAGTCAAATAGCTAATTTAGTTTTTCCTTGGAAGGCTTTGACAATGCTCTTTCAAACTGGTGTATCACACTCAAGTATTATGGGATTCTTCTATGTAATTCCTTCTTAACCTCTCTCTCTATTGCCTGTTGTGTAACTGAGAGCTTTTAATGTGCATCATGTTAGTTATTGTGCAATGTAAGATTGGATTCCATCTGTGTAACTTAAGAATTCTTATTCTCTCGGAACTATCCCTGTTGTTTTGTGAAAAAGTAAGCCTGTTAGGAAGCAGAGTTTCACAGCCTCAGTTGATGAGCTTGAGGCTCTGCTAGTGTATTTTGCAACTGTTTCTTGAGAAAGAGATAATAACAATTCGGTTAGCAACCACCAAGTGATGCAGTTAACCTAATTGAATGGGCTCCTTTCCGAAAGAAAGAATCATCCTCCCTGAGGAGTATTTGGAAGAATGGTCTCTTGCCAGATTTTGTCAATGAGAAGATATGCATAGTCATTTTCATATTCCTTGTTCCATAGCTGTTATGCACTACCATTTCTGTTACAGCCCTGGGAACAAGTACTTATTTATCTGTGAAAGCTTTATACCTACATTCAGTATCTTGTTCTCTGTGTGAAATCAAACTCTGCATTTTCAGAGCTATTGAAAGACATCTTTACTTCCCCCACCACCATTTTTACCTTCTAAAATGGTCTTTCTGCTGAAAAAAACATAGTATTTGCTTTCTTTGACATTGTTGTTCAGCTTGTTCAACAATGTTCAGCTTGACTTTTGTTCTCTTTATTTAACTCTTTGCTGTATGCTTGTTGAAAGTCGTTGCAGAAAACCAGTTCTTTTTCTGTTTGTTTTTAAATGTTAATAATTTAATTACTGTTACGTATTTTTGTCGAAGTTTGCACTGTAGTTTAATTGATAAGGTTACAATTAATGACTGAGTTGTCCATTGAAAGATCCTGTGGCTGTCTTTTCTTGTTGTTTGGACCACTGTTTTAGAGAGCCAGCTTTTGTGTGTCACATGCATTTAACTTTAGCTGGGTTTCCTAAGGAAACAAGACTTGTGCAATTACACTGTCTGTCTCTGTCTGACTGTTCCGTGTCCCAAACAGTGTTGGTGCCCATTGTCTAATTTCTCTTAAATTGACATATAAGAAAACACAAGGCATTATTTTCTTAAGAATTTTCTTGTTTGGAAGGAAAATTTCTTCTTGGTGTACAGGCATAATTTTGTATGCTTATCAAATTGCTGAGTTTACTATTTATTGTTGTTTATGAGTCTTAGAACATGTTGAATCTGTAGTATTCTGTCAAATTTGGATCCATCTATGCTGGAGTATCTTTTAGTGCTTCTTAGAAGACTTCAGTAGTTCAGCAAATTTTGCATAATGGTTTCTGTCGACTCTCTTCTGTCACATGAAGGTCTCTTTCCCTCCCTCTGCTTCCCTCTCTGTCCCTCTCCTTCATTCTGTACACACACACACATACACACCCCATTTTCTCTCTCCCCCACCATGATTCTTTCTCTCATGGTCTGTTTTCATTGATCCCCTCACTTAGTGAGCAGAATGGAGGAGTAGGAGGAAAATATTTCTTTGAACATCTTTCAAGTGCATGTTTTACATTATCTTTGTGAGCATGTAGCAAACAAGTGCTCAGTAGTGAGAGGAGAGTGTCGTTACCTGCTGAGGGAAATAGCAGTCTGTGTGTGAAGAAGTGAAGCCCATCTCTCCTGCTCAGAGGTGTTGATTTAAATTGATGGTAAAAGCTTCATTGGCTTTGCCATTTAAAGCAGATAGAGACAGTTTAACAATGTAATTAAGATTGTTTACCACAATTTCTGATAACACTGACATTTTCTGTCAAGTTCTTTAAACAATTTGTTCTCTTTGTAAGAAAGAACACTTTGCAGCCAAATAATTTGAGAAGATTACCATAGACTCAGTTTTTCATTGCTGTCCCTAAAGCTCAGTTTATCTTGAATACTGACCTTTACACTTAATATTTTGGGATCCCAGTTACATTTATCTAAGAGTTAAAATTAATAGGTTTTAATTCTTCCATTTTTTACATGTGCTGACATGTAGGGAAGTATCTGCTGAATATATTTTTTAATTTTTTGTACCATCTGTTCTGACCAAACCCAGCATTTTATAAGGACCTTGAGGCAAATTCAGGAAGTGAAACTTAAGGCAGTACAGAAGAAAAATATAAGTACCTGCTCCCTCTCCACAGATCTCTCTATAAAGGATACCAAATAGTTTCCTAGAGAGGTTGCTGAGTGGTAAATGTGGCAAATGCCTTTTGAGCACTGCCATTCACACACTTGTATTTTTGTGTCTTGGAAGAAATGAAGTTCTTCTAACTTTACAGTGCATCTACTAGATAAAAATAAAAATTTGTCAGTTACTGGTTTGAACTTTTATTTATAAATTAACTTGCATGCATCCATAAACCTGGAAAAGCAGTTGTTCCAGAAAAAATTCTGCTTAAACACTTAGCTGGAGAGAAATTTAGGTGAGGGATTGTGAAGAGAAATTTGACTGGTTCAGAACACTGAAAACGCTGCAGGACAAACACATTTAAATTTAATTGGACCTAAAACAGAGCTCTGATAATGCATTTACCTATTTGACTTTGACGTTCGTGTCTCATCTTTCCTGCATGTAACTCATTTTCTTTCGGAACACCATTCATAGGGAGATATGCTTAAAATTTTATATTTTTTCTTGCCCAGATTTGATATATAAACAGAGTTCAGGTTTCTTTTAATGCTGTGTTTAGACAACATTTCAGTAGCTCAAGAAAACAGAAAAGGCTTGTAAGGTAACTGTTAAAAATTGCATTTGCAGGCTCTGAAAGTGCTTCTCCAATCCAATCTGCTCTTGGATCCCGATCACAGACACCCTCTCCTGCTACTCTTCATGCAGATCATATTGAGCAGAAGGATCTGCAGCTGGATGAGAAGCTCCACCACTCTGTTTTACAGACGCCAGATGACCTAGGCAATATCTGGAATAGAAAATACAAACCTGTTCTGTCTTTCTTTCCAATGCCATATAGTGAAGTAGCTAGTTGTACACAATCCTTTACAAGGATATTTCAGCTGCACTTTTAAAAATATTTAATTAACAGTTACTTAAAAGCAAACAAAAACCTTTAACTAGTTATCCTTCATTTCATTGGTACTGTTTGCAATAGATTAATAGTTCACATAGTTATAATTGTTCTTTTTGATGCTTAGACTTGTGGCAGCTTAATCTAGTATACAGCCCTGTCGTAGACAGTTTTATCATTGATGTACAAGCAGTAAGACATAATTTTAAAGTAATGTTATATTTTCTGCTTGGACCATAATTTGGTTTCCCTTTCATGTTTAAAAAAGAATCATAGCTACTTCCACTATCTTAGCTGTTGAATTCTAGGATACATTCACTTTATAAATATGAAATACTAATTTCTTCGGTGTTTGGTCTCATGGAAACAGAAGGGTGTCTGTATATCTCAGACCCTTTTTCTTTAAGTATGCTACTGATGGGTAGAAACAATATCAAACAGTATCATTTTGCTTTGTACTTTGTAATCTGCAGGCTACAAACTGTTAGTGTCTCTATCACAGTGGTCCAGAACTTCAAAAGAGGAGGCTATGTGATTATGCTGAATCAAGATTTCATTTTGATTTTGTATGCCTGTAGAAGCTGCAAGATTTTCAGAAGATCTCAGCAAATTCTGGTGCTGAGGTGTTTTGAATATCTGTTCTGGATGCCTGCTGCTTTAAAACTGTGGCTTGTTAGCAAGTTTGTTATAGCTGTTTAGCTAGTTAAGTGTGAACTGAGCAGACTTTAGCCTTTGTAACCTATTGAAGTTTTCTTTGTATGGACAAACTGGATTAAAGATCTTCCACCCAAAAAAAAGAACATGCATTTGTTAACACTGTCATGTACAGAGAGCTAAGTGAGAATTAGACTGTGGTGCTAGATTACTGTGTGGTGCCTTTCCACTCACAGATTTACTATTAAAGAACAGTAGCCAGAGACAAGTTTACTCTCACCTTTCTCTTCAATTTGCACTAAAATACAGTCCTAGTAGATTGGAAAGAGAACCTGCTTTCTGTTTTATAGGGAAAAAAGTAGAAATGTAGTTTTACTTGGAAGCAGGCAAGTGGAGTTCAGGAGTTTCATTGACTCCAAAGAATGTAAGGCAGCACTTTACAAAAGGAGTGGCCTTACCAGCTCCATCAGACCAATTTTGATGCTCCAGAAGTGACCTTAAATGTTACTTTCAGAAAGAATATAACAAACAGGACAGTTCTCCTCTACCGAGTTTGAAAACAAACATATAGTTAAACATTTCCAGTGTTGAGGCTGAATGGGTAAGAAATATCTTATTCTTAAAGCCTAATTTTTATGGTTTTTTTTCATTTTGGTTTTAAGAAAACTATGTATGTAGTAGTTATATCAGAACTTTTCTTCCCTGGAGAGATAAGTCTCACTGTACTTTTTTCTTTTATTACAGAAACTAGTGAATTCCCCTCAGAATGTTGCAGTGTGATGGCTGGGGGAACGCTTACAGGATGGCATGCAGATGTTGCTACTGTGATGTGGAGGCGAATGCTGGGAATTTTGGGAGATGTCAACAGCATAATGGATCCAGAAATTCATGCTCAGGTTTTTGATTACCTGTGTGAACTGTGGCAGAATCTGGCCAAGGTAGAAGAACTGAACCTCTTTTCCAGCCTGACTTGATAAGGCAGGATTTTCAGAAAGAAAAAATGTACCACCTTATGTATTTCCCTTAAATGTTTATCTTTTTGTTTTGTTTTTAATAATTTCAGATAAGAGACAATCTTGGTATTTCAACAGATAACCTAACTTCACCATCACCACCAGTTTTAATTCCACCGCTGAGGATTCTAACACCATGGCTGTTCAAGGTAAATTTGAGCACTAAGCAGTGGAACAGAAATAAAAGTTCATCTAGTTGTAGAAGAGGGTTTAATGTATTTTTTTATTTATGAATAATAAATATTGTTCTGAAACTGTAGGCAACAATGCTGACTGATAAATACAAACAAGGAAAGCTACACGCTTACAAACTCATTTGTAAGACAATGAAGCGAAGACAAGATGTTTCTCCGAACAAGGATTTTTTAACTCATTTCTACAATATAATGCATTGTGGACTTCTTCATGTTGATCAAGTGAGTATAATTGCAAAATTGAGGTTAATAGAGCATAATTCAAAATAAAACTGCTTTATTAAAAATATTGAATGGATTTTGAGCTGAGTAATTTAACTTTGTCATTGAAAATGGCTATGTAACTGATATTTTTTCTAAATTTTCATAAATGGCCCTTGTGTTCTTGGTTATGATCAGAAATGCTTTTTTTGTAGTCCGTTTCAGGCAAACACAAGACCAGGAAAGGTACTGTTTCATTTTTTACTGATTGTGTTACACATTGATGCATGCAAGAAAGAGAAAGTAGCAGATCTCTCTAATGTCTACTGTTCTTACTTGCTTCCTGATGTAACAGTTCAGCTAGTGGGAAAGTAAAGCATGATCACTGCATTGCAGTAGTTTATTTCTACAGCAGAAGTAGGAACCAGCAAGCTGAGACATACAGAGTGTATCTACTCAGTCGGAGTCGATCTTTCTTTTTCATAGTTATTAATATTAACAAGTCTGAAAATACTGTATGGCTTAAACCACTGTTTTTACAGGCTTGTATCAGAAGTCTGAAAAATTGGTTTTGTGAACTTTTTTGAGGAGCAGTTACAGGCACAGGGAGATCAAAGGTTCAAACAACCCTGTTTTCATTAACTGGGCAAAACAGAACTAGTCCAAAATCATTCCACACATGGCTATGGATAGGACAGATCTCTGATTTATGTTCCCTGGAGACTAGTTTACACTGCTTTTCTTGCTGGATTGCAAATCTTCCTATAACTTATTGCCATTAAATTGTGTATCACTACTATTGGAGAATTATTCAAAGGAGGAAGAGGGTTGTTTTTTACCTATGATTGAACTTAGGAAGTTTTTGAATAATTAAGACATACTATACTTTTCAAATAGTGTTGAAGAAATTGCATAATGTACGTTAGTTGAAAAAACTGCCTCACAAAGTCTACAAGAATTTAATATGCTGTGTTAAATAACTGCATACCTGAAATGTTATCAAACACTTTATTCTTTCTTTATGTTTTTGTTCCATGTTGATATATGGAAGAGTCTAAAATTTCATTTTCAGCTTTTAGTCACGTGATAGTTGAAGTGGATTTAAGCATGTTGTTGAGAAGGTATAATAACTTGTTATCTCGCTATACATCCTCTGCACATATTTAAATGAATGGTTAATCATTTATAGAACTCTTAAAAGCTAAATGTAAATTAATATGATGCAACCTGGTACCAACATAATATCGTAGTGTCCACAGTTGAATTCATCTACAAAGTTTAACACAGTTTACTTATATTAATATGAGTATACTTAAGGAATTTATATTCTTATGCTGCTCTTCCCTCAGTAATGAGTGTCTTACCACAATGAATTTGCTTTATCACTTTCCGTCTTTTGTAAATACCTTTGTTTTTTCATTCATTGTTAATCTTGTTGATAACCTTCTTTTCCTATTTTCTCTTTTCCTCCTGCAAGGATATTGTCAATACAATCATCAAGCACTGCTCTCCTCAGTTCTTTTCACTTGGTTTGCCTGGTGCCACCATGCTTATTATGGATTTCATTGTAGCAGCAGGAAGAGTGGCTGCATCTTCTTTCCTCAATGTAAGTATTCATTAGTTCATTCTTGTTTATGTGTGAGTGGAAGGGGTTTGAGAGAAAACTAAGCAGTACTTTTCCTTGTCTAGTGCTTTAGCTTGTCCCCAGAAGTCGATGTAATGTTTAGCAAGTACAGATACTGTCAGTGATTTATTGTAGAACACTGCACATGCAAGGTGTCTCTATAGAAAATATGTGAAGAATGAAAAAATTACTGTTGAAACAGAGAACCTTCTTCAGAGTTCTCTGAATTGTGGCTGCCATTTACCCATGCTTTAAAATGTTTTAGAATATATGTCCATTTTAATTGTAACTTCATGTTAAAAGTGTATTTTTTCTTCCATATCTCTCCTATGCAATGACTTGGATGTATTTTTTATATTGTTACCCAGGCAACTTCAGCCTTATATAGTAATACAGATACAATTACCTAGGTGCTGTTGGCCTTGCATGACTGTACTCTTTCAAAGCTCCCCAGTACTCTCCTCTAATTGTCTGCTAGTTTTGACTTTTTCTCACATCATACCTCCTTTAACCAACTGTGAAATCCAGCCTCCCTCAAGGTACTATCTGAAGCTTCTGTCAGCTTCTTGCACATTCTTACCTGTCACATCCAGCGGCCTCATGTCATGTCCAGTGGTTTTCCACATCCTTTCAATTAGCCGAAGCTAACACCTAAGCCTAGTTAGCAGCTCAGACATTTGTCTGTAGTCCTAACAGTTCCTCTGCTTCTTTTTGACCATCTTGGAGTATGGGAACATGATGTGTGCATGAGTAGCCAATCTGTGGAGCTGTGGTCTCAGGTTGATCAACCCTACAGAATCTGCAGAAAGAGGAAATAGCTGTGTAGAGCCATAGCTTAAAAGAGCCATTGCTCTTTTAAGGCAACTAGAAATGTTGGCTTCCTGCTTGCAGTAATAATATATATAATTTCCACCACCTATTTTTCTTTTAGGCACCAAGAGTGGAAGCACAAGTTCTTTTAGGATCTCTAGTCTGTTTTCCCAATTTATATCATGAACTACCAGCTCTTCACCCAAACGTTCCTGACATTGCTGTGTCTCAATTTACAGATGTTAAGGTAGGAATTTAAAGAATATTTGGATGGTATTCAGCTACCAAATATATGTTTAATACTGTGTTCTTCCAGAAAATACTAACTAATCTTAAGATTCTAAAATTTTTCAGAAAGAATGTAAAATAGATTATAAAGCTCAAGAGACCATAAAATATTGTCAAGCTTTATACTACTTAACATACTTTATAATTCTAATTACCTTGATAATAAAGTGTTTTCTTATGTTTGTTAAAGGACATTGTGTTTTATCTCACTGAAGGGTTTTCTCACCTTTTCAAGCTGCTCTTATTAGGACTATTTGAAGGTCTCACAGATTTAATCAGCTGAGATTAGAAGTTTGAAAGGTTCAAGATACATTATATAATTTGTTGAGAATTCACAACTGGTGGAATCTGCCTGTGTTCCTAGGGACTTTACATCAGTATATTCTTTTAGACAAAAAGCAAAGATTAATGTAGACTTTACCCTCTTTATTATAACACAGAGCTGGATAGTGTGCCAGCCTATTGAAACTGGGCAAAGCTCAGTTCATTTGTTCAGTTGCTGGGCTTGTGTCAGGTATAATTACTATAAGAAAGGCTTCCCGTAAGTTTCCGAACTGTTTCATTTAGAGAGAGATCGTTTCTAGGAAGCTGCTTTATACCTGGTTCTCTTTTGGGGACTCATTTTGAGTTCCTTCTTTCTCATTTCTGTTGTATAATGGCTGTTTGCTTGGGTTTTATTGAGAGCAACCAGCAGCTTTAGATATATTTCACTGCAGTTGAGCCAAAATTCTTCTTGTCATCATACCTAAGGCACTGTACTCACTTATACTGCAACTACTTCCAAAGACTTTTTGAATCAATATAATTTTGAAAAAAGGCTTGTTTAAACCGCAGAAGTAATAGATTCTTTCTGTGATACACTTCAGTGCTATTCATAGAAGCCAGCTTTAGGGAGTCCTTTGTTTTTTGGGTTGGGGTTTTTTTTCCCACCCTCGATATCTTGTGTAAAAGTATTGGTAAGAATTGGATACGTGGTAAATCAGCAGAAATTAGGACAGTAATCTGTGGGATATTCTTGAAGGAGCACAATAATGAGCGTCTGGGGCACACTTTGAGTACTGGTAAGCAAACGACTCCACTGACCACAAACCTAGAGACTCAGCTAAGCAACGTGCCTGTGTATACTGTAATCAAATTCTAAATTTCTGATGCTTCATATAATGGAGTTATTGTTAAATCAGTGAATACTTTCCTGTTTGTTTTAGGAACTCATAATTAAAACTGTGTTAAGCTCAGCAAGAGAGGAGCCATCTGGTCCTGCCCGGTAGGTTATACAAAAAGAGCTTCTAAAACTATAATTCTTTTATTAATTATACTGTTTTGAGGTGGATGTTTTAGAGAGCTTAACTTAAAAATGTATATGTATTTTATTAATGTTTTTTTTCACCACTGTCAAAATTGTGGTCTACCATGTGAATTCAAAGTTGTTTGTACATAGCGATTTTAAAAGAACAGCTATCTTCTGTCAAACTGGTCTACCCCTGTATCCTTCCTCCAATAGTGCCTGATTGGAAGTGGTGTAAATATGGGTAAGAGTTGAAGCTATATGCTTTCCCAAGCTACCCTGGTGTTTAGCTCAGGGCTTTTCTATACTAGAGGAATTTTTTCCTTTGATTAAGGCCAAGATTATATATGAGGGAAGTATGGTTATTTTTTATTAGACCACATAATTTAATTTGAAAAACAGAAATTATCCAAACTACATGAGCCTTTCTTTATGGTATGGAAAAGAAGAAAATACTGGCCTAAGCATTAAACTGGGAATGATTGCTCTGATACTTAAACCTAAGCATCTTCCTCAAATAGAGAACTTAGGAGAGGATACTTAACAGTTTTCTGTTTTCATTCATCTCTGCTTTGAACACACCTATATACATACTCTTTACCTTTACACTCATCTTTGATTTTGTGATTTTAAATGAAGAAACAACAAAAGTTAAAGTATGCAATCACATGTACACCGTCTCTAGTATTCTTTTGCCTCTCCTCTCTCTATCCCTGTTTATTGTCAATATAAAGAAATGTAACTATCTATGAGCTAATAACATTCCCCTTTCTTGTCTCTGTGTCCCAGAAGCTTTAAACAACCATGCACAAACTCTCATGTTGAGAAACTCCTACCACATTTTTTCATTTATCTTTAGAAAATAAATATCTTAAAAGCACATAGCAATGCAGTTTAGAAGTCTTTTGGATTTTTGAGTTGTTCAGAAGGGTGCTTCCTCTGTCCTTTCTTGTGCCTTCACAAGGGTACCTGGGATATTTTTCTAATTTTTAAATAAGTTACAGCATTGTAAAGGTTTTTGTGTACTTATTTTCAAAATATTAAAACCATAAGTATTTGCTTTTAACAAAACATGATAAAAATTGCACATTCTTGTAGCATGTGTCTCAACAACTTGTCCTCCAACATTGTTTTGCAGATGCGTTGCTCTTTGTAGCCTCGGTATTTGGATCTGTGAGGAGCTAGTTCATGAATCACATCATCCTCAGATCAAGGAAGCATTGAATGTGATTTGTGTTTCTTTAAAGGTGAGACACTAACACTTCTACAGTGTATGTTGCCTTTATGGGGAAAGCTGCTTTGCCTTTTCAAATTCATGATCACATTTTGGTATACTTACTTCACAGTGTCATTTTCAATCCTTGTAAAAGACTAAATTCAATTTAATTGGTGGATCTCTGAACTCTGAGATCTTTGCTCTTCTGTAAGTGTGGAGCAAATGATGCACTGGTAAGGTAGTGGATCCCTGTCTTAATGTGTATCACTAGCTGCGTTACTCTAACCTCCACCCTTTGGAGTGTAACAGTTTGTCCATCATCCCAGCTTCCATAAATAATCAAAACCACTGCAGGCTTTGTCCAGCTTTGTACCCCTTCCCACATACTGGACCCAAGCTCTCATTAGCATTTTCTGCATTTGTCTGTAACTCGATCTAGGAATCTGTGATGTATTAACCTTGGTAAGAGCCAAACTCCCACCCAGCCACTCACTCACTCCCCCTACTCAATGAGACAGGAAGAGAAAACAAGATGAAATATCTTGTGGGTCAAGATGAATACAGGGAGCTTTCTTACCAACTACCGTCATGGGCAAAACAGATTTGACTTGGGGAAATTAATTTAATTTATTTCCATTTAAAATAATTTGAGTAGTGACAAACAAAGACAAGAGGGGGACAGGGAAGAAAACGAGAGATGTCAAATGTAAAGGCCAAGCAGAAGTTCCCCAAAGCTTCTCATGCTTCTTGCTCACTTGCCCTCTTGCTTCCGTTAGTCAAATTCCATTCTTCACTACCTTCTGTGCCTGTTCTCTTCTAAGTTCAATATCCATTGCATTATGCAGTATTGTGCTTCTCAGCCCTAGCCAGATATGTAGAGAGAGATTTAGAATATTTAAGCTGCATGCCTGAAACCACTGGAAGGTGTTTGATTTCCTGTGGCAAAATGCTGTTCTGTGATCATTCCAGGACATGTCATTCAGGCCAGTACCTGTAAGAAAAAAAAAATCTGAGTCCAAAGACAGGTCAAGTGTTGACACCAGAGTTTCTGTGAATAAATTACCTGTTGAAAGGAAATAATGAGAATATAAAATATAAATGTAAGGAAATAATGAGCACCTGTTTTTATGGCTATCATTAACATTTATTTCCTGTTTTTTTGTGAAGCATGCTGTATAACTGTGTAATTATACAGTTTTTCAGAATTATACAGTTTTTCCTTTTTGGTGGGTGTGGTGGATTGGCCCCAGTTAGCATCCAAACTTTGTTCAGCCTGGAGAAGAGGAGGCTGAGGGGAGACCTCTTTGCTTTCTACAACTACCTAAAAGGAGGTTTGATGTGGGTGTTGGCCTCTTCTGCCTAGTGACTAGTGAGGAGATGGGGTCGAGTTGTACCAGGGTAGGTTCAGATTAGATATTTGGAAAAATGTATTCACAGAAAGAGTGGTGAAGCATTGAAGCAGGCTGCCCAGGGAGGTGGTGGAGGCACTGTCCCTGGAGGTGTTAAAAAATGAATAGACATGGTGCTTCAGGAGGTGATTTAATGGTCACTGGGGTGTAGGGCTGACAGTTGGACTTGATGATCTTGAAGGTCTTTTCCAACCTTAATGATTTTATGAATCTCGTCCAGCTGCTCGCTTCCTCACCCATCCCCCAGCAGGAGAGAGGCAAGCATAGGAAGAACAGCACTGGGTCTTTGGCCCCTTCCCACAGAGACCACCCTACAGCCAAGTCCTCCCCACCCAATACAGTGTTTCTGAAACTAATTTGTAAGATAAAACTTCACAGCCTCTGGTAGTCACTATGCAATTCCGTATAAACATCTTCACACTCTTGAAATCTAGGATGATTGGTTTTGATTGAATCTGTTAAATGTAGGTAATGTGCACAGTGATTCCTACCTGGAAATGCAGCTTGCTCAGATCCAGCTCATTCATTGTGGTGCAATGCCTATAAAATGCTTCTAAGTAGAATAAATTTTCTGACATTTGCCTGCCTTTTGTGAACGATGGTTTTTGCTATTCTGAAACTGGGCTGCCTGAATGTCAACTCTGGTCACAAGATTTTGTATTGGTGGTAGTATATCAACAGTATATTGCTTTCATCAGCTCTGTTAAAAAGCTCACTTTTTGGCTTTTTTTTTTTTTCCTCTTTCCATGAGTGTTTTTGTATTCCTGCTTTTTGCAAACTTTCCCTGTTTGTTCAACTTTATGGAATAATTAGATCATTGTTAAAACCATTTTATTTTCTAGCATTTTGTAAATTTGTATGTTTGTAAAGAGTATGTTCAAAGTTTTAAGTATTTCCCAGTTTATTTTCAGAACCTTTCTACATGCTCTTTGTTTACATCAAAATTAAATGAAAAGTCTAGTCTTTCTGTATACACATGTTGATATAAATCAGGATGTACACCTGTTATACATGGCTTATGTCAGATGTTGTGAAGGGTTGTTTTCTTTTCAGCAGTGGGAATCTGAAAAGTACATCAGCTGATGATATTCTGTGAAGCAGGATTTTAGTCTGAATCTAGAATGGGTAGCTGCAGGGGTTTTGGTATTAGACTCTAAATTGCAATTTCCTGTTTTGCAAAATCACATTCATCCTTTGCAGCTTGACTAATATTCTCTTCCAGGGTTTTCCCCATGCTTTTTAATATCCCTTAACTAGTGCACTTTATCAGATTCTTGTGCAAGTTTGGTAGTAGGCAAATAATGCTGGTTTAATCTTCTGCAGTTTATCAAAGTTTGAACTATTTTTAATCCTGGCATTCACTGTCATATCTCTTATTTTTCTTTGACGTATTTATTAAACCAATTATTTGTATCTCATTTATATTAGCCATAAATTACATCTTGAATGACAAGACAAATATCTTTATATTTCTGCTTTGCTTTGAAAAAAGCATCCGGAGCATGGTGACTTTTCTCCTATTCTAAGCAGTGGCATACATTCACAGTGGAGTTTAATGATGAAATGAAAAGTTAGTAAGTTTATCATGGGAGATAGAAACTAGTTCTAATTTGCTGCCTAAGCAATCTCCTGCCTTCCAAGATTTGAACTCCCACAATTGATTGTGTTCTTATTTTCAGGAGAAATTAATGGATAGAGAGTTACAGTCCCAGTCAACTGACTGATAAGTACAGTTGAGCAAATAACATTGAATAGAAATGTTAGCGACAGTTATATACCTGTTTCTGAAATACAGCAGCATCTTTAGAACTGCAGTCACACAGCTCTCTGAGTATAACTAGCACTTCTCTCAGCAGTGTGGTGATACCGCTGTGTCTGTGTTAACCTTTGCTGAAGCCTGAGCACAGAAGATCCTAACCAGCCATCCAGACCTCTGCATCTCGTGACTATATCATTCACTTCTCAAAAATTCTGCAAATACATCACAACATTGTGTTGTAAAGCCTTAGTTGAACAAGTGCTGAATATAGGTTATTCTCAAGGATGAACAAGATTAAACTACTCCTGTAAGATCCAGAAATCAATGGACCCTTGCAAAGATGAAAAGTATGAAAAAACTGCAGTTCTGAGAAAAACCCTGAGAGTTAGGTACCAGGCAATGTGCCAGCCCGTTGAAAGCTTTTTATTTTGCCCCCACTGAGTAACTTCTTAAACATTATGTCCATTGTTATACTATGAAATACCACATAAAAGTAGTGAATTCTTATACTTTATAACACACAGTATATTCCAGAGGTAAAGCACGGTGGCTGAAATGTTTGTAGCATCACACAGCTGCCTTCATGCCACATCTGAAGGGTCTTGGAAAAGAAGTTGGAACAAAGCAGATGACTTGGAAGGGGTGAATTGTTTTGATATCCAGCATAAGTTCAGTGTTGCTGCTTGAGTTGAGGAAAATATCTTTTCAACAAAAAAATACAAATAAAGAAAATGCTTCCTGTTTTTAAGTAGTGAAGGGCTGTTTATTTCAAGACTCTGAAAAGTCTCCAGGCCTTTTTCTCAGGTAATTTTTTTTCTTAAATTCAGTCATCTGGATCCTCCGTATTAAGCTACTCTGGTTTGTCCACACCTCCTGTCCTCTCCAATGACTTTGGGGTTTTCCTGCAGGCATATAAGGGTGTTTCCAGAAATCTGGATTTGATCTCAAGTTCTGCAATCAAATTCTTATGCTTTCAGTTTTATTTTATTTTTTTGGTTGTTACTCAAGCTTGAATATTAGAATCTGTACCCTGTTTACTGTGGCTTTTACAGTGTACCTTCACAGCATGGAGGAAGGCTGTGTACTGAGGGGTAAAAAATACTGATGTTTTTGTCATAAGCTCTGTGAAGACTTACAGATGTAAGATGTATACTATGTTTTAGTTAAAAGTGAACAGTAACATGGAACTATGTCCACTGAGAAACAGGCAAAGTCAGCAAAAGGATTACCTACCCCATGTACTCTGGCTTCTGTCTCTGTGGCTGACTTTTAAGAGCCATTTATAGTCTTTATGCCTACAAAGATACCATAAACAAACAAACAAATCATTAGTTAACGCTTCATACTTTGTACTTTTGCTTATGTGTGTACCTTTTATTTCCAAAACCTTAAATGTAAAAAATTACAGCTTTGCTTTTATCATGAGTTGGCCCAGAACAAAGTTTTCTTCCAGGGTGTTGTGCATATTTACACTTTTGCCATTTAAGAATTTTATTCTGAAATGCTTAATTTTTTGCACGTTTGGTTGCCCTGGAATTTCATCTTTCGTAAAGTTTTGGGTTTGTTTTTTTTTTTTTTGGTTTTTTTTCTTTGTTTGTTTGTTTTTTAAGGTTTGTGAGACATACTCTTCCCTGAAAGGTTAATAGAACTGGACTGATTAGGAAAACAGTCTAAGAAGCCAAAAAATTAATTCTAACTGTTTTTGCAACATAATTACCCTTTACTAAGTTCAGAGGTAGATGCTTAGCTACCTAGCAGTGCACACCTGTGACAACTGCACTGTTAAGTCAAGTGAGATGAAGCCATGAACTGTGTAAACTACTTTTTAATTCTTTTAATAATGCAGGAATTCCGATATCACTCATCTTCACTGGAGAAATAGAATATTTCATTATTAAAGCATTAATTACTTAATTATTTTCTGAGTGATTTGAGATTCTTCATTAATACAGTTTGGAATGGTTGTTTTCAATAAAGATAGAATGTACATTTGAATAAGAGTGTATTTGAAATCTTTTTCTTGGGGCTATTGCATGTAGCTTTTTCTTTGATGTAGTTTGTGCTGTCATCTGAAGTCTGTAGTTTTGCTGTCCTAATAACCATTTTGCTTGGATTTGTAGAATTTTCATATTCTAGATGAAAAAAATTCACTTGTAAAATTTACTTTGTTGTTTGGTGCACATCGTAGTATTTTAGAGCAAGTGCAATGAAGGAAGAAGCCTCAGGTACATGTCCTGTGCATTAACAATTTAGGGAAACGTATCCTTGTCTCTTCATTTCTTTGTTTTCCCTCTTAGGAGAGTAGGGCAGTGCGTGCATCCTCTGCTGAGCCTGAGGACTAATTGTACAAATGCGGTCACTTAGAGGTTTTAGTTTCTGTTGAAGGCAGGCTCCAATGCAAAAATGTTCTCCTGCCTTTAAAAGGTAACAGATAAAAGGGGAACTGGGCCAGAAGTTGAGGTGCATTCATGTCCATTCAGTGTAGCACTCTCTACCCAGCAGTCGCTACAAACCAGCAGCGTTAGTCTCACTATAAATACGGTGTCTTGCATTTTGGATACATGGCTGTCCACCTGCGTTGATTCTCAAAAAACCCCTCTGATTTCAGAATTGGATCCTTGGCTTTTTGCAGTAATGCATTTAGCATTAATAATCATTAAGGTAACAATTTTATTTTTTTTCCTGGCTTCAGGATACTGTACTAACCAGTAGGAAGTTAGTTTGGAGATTCCTCTTCCCTTTTCATTATTGTGTGCAACTCCCTGATTGTCTGTCCCAAGCCTTTGATGTCAGCTGCTAATATTTGGTTATTATTATAAAATAATTCCTTTTAAATTTTGAAAAATACAATTATGTTCCTCCAATGAATAGATACATAAGGAACTATGTGTATAAAACCATCACTGAAATTCCTGACCACCTTACCACCTATTGTACCTTTATGTGAAATTGCATAGTCATTGTTACTGTACTGTTCTCTTTTGTAGTTTCCAAATAAAACAGTTGCCCAAGTTGCCTGCAGTATGCTGAACATGCTGATACATTATGTACATAGACTTCAAGTGTATCAAACTGATTCACCTTTAAGAATTATTCAAGTAAGTAATTTTAACAAAATTGACATTTTTATTCTTTTAAATGCAACAGTAAAATGTATTTTCCTGAAGTTGAAATACCAGAATATTGACAAGTATGTTTCAGAAAATGCTAATTATTACAAACATAATCTTACAGAAATTAACAGTAGGGATTCATATCACACTTATTTCCTGACTCCAGTATTAACAAGTAAAATGGCTTATTTTTTCTCAGATACAATTATTTCAGTATTTACATGAGAATGTTGCTGATAAAGTCCCAATTTCTTGTGTAATATTCAGTATCTTCAAATATGTTTAAGTTTAGTGAGATTACTTCCACCATATGGATCTGCAATTGTAGTTTGCCTATTTGTAGGCAGAACACCTTGCTTTCAAGTATTACAGTATAAGGCAAAAATAATTATTTTGAATACACTTTAAATAACAAGGAAGTAGACTGTGGCCTCTGTGACCCTGAACCACAGAGAAAAGACAGAGGTCTCCCAGGTAACTGGAAAGAGAATTGTGTGGAAGCTTCTTAAGAGGTACAGCGAGCATTTCTCTGCTTCTCTTCAGTCATACTGTTGATGAAGTAGAGGCAGTGTGTTTATAGATTCTAGTAGCTCTAAGAAATAATGGAGCTCAAATAGGCACATGCACAAACCCACATCAGTCTCCTTGCTGCACCCTACAAGTGTGTTGAATCAAGTTCTTTTCCTGCCTTGAATATTTGGAATAGCTGTGTAATTTCTTCGTCCATAATGTACCTACATTGGTCAAGCAGAAAATATTCCTTCAATACCTTTTGTGAAATCAAATTTAAAGGATTTTATTAAAAAAAAAAAAAGTGGCAAGGAATGCTGTAATTTGTCTCAAAATAAATTTAATACTGTTTAATCATGAGTCTATTATCATGCCACATTTGCAAGCTTAAAAAAGTATGTTAAATACTGAAATTGTATTTTTAAAGAAACTATGCTATATTTTTTCCAGATTCTGATAGCAACTATTACCCATCTGCTACCCAGTACAGAAGCTTCCTCTTATGAACAGGACAAAAGGGTAATTTCTTTTTAATGTGTCAATTTAATTGCAAAGGTGTGACATAGCAATGTTACAATAAACAAACTGTGCCTAAAAGTAGGGATTCAGCAGTTTAAGTATAATACAGTATAGTCTTCTCAGAATTCTGGCAAAATTTTTTTTACAAGTGCATTTCTGACATTTTTGTAGGAATATATGCATTGAAAATTAATTGAGATTGATGGTTTTCAATAATTAGAAAGTATTTTTCTTTACCCATAGAGAACTTACAAGTACGGAAGGTAGTGTAGCTTTGTCTTACAGTGAAAATACATTCTCAACTTTAAAAATATTTATGAGATTATGATTTTTGGTGCTTTGTATTGTAAGTATGTTCTTGAGCAAGTTAGCCTGTAATCTGCAGATTAATTTGTCATCCTTAAAAAGGGTTGTTACCATCCTTCAAAACTGTTGTTATCTTCTCATATTTTCAGTGGACCTCAGTCCTCACAGTAGTACTTTCTAACTCCTGAAAGCTGTATCTGAATTATTTGAATTTGCCCCAGGACTGTGGGACAAAGTGGTTGGTTGAGCTTGGGCACTTTGGTCCAGGTCACCACTGGCAGTGCTGTTGTACTGGGCCACCCATTCCTGTGGGAGCTGGCATTCGTGGCAGGCTCATTTTGGCCTCCTATGTTCCTCTCTGTTCGCAAGGAGGCACTGGCTGCTGACCACAGCCATATGCCAGGCTAGCCACCTTGCTGCTTGAGATGTTTCCCATAAATCAGTGTTTCCCCATGAACATTGTACATCAGATATGCTATCAAAAATTGGTTTACCTAGTTTAACAAACTTAAACCTAATGAGTTTGTTAAAAACTGGTTTAATATATAAAGTACTCGGAGTCCTTCATCATTAGGTTTAAGATGGTTCCTCTGAGAGACAAACTTGTAATATATTATGTGAAATGAGTATGATGTCTATATGTATCATTTATTAGTAAATTAGTTGAGTGGATTTTATTTGAAAATTTTTTATTTAGTTTGGGAAATATTTTTGAGAATCTTGCAGCTATTTGTCTGAATGGTTTCATTTTCCACAGCTAAGTTTTAAAAATTAAAAATAAGTATTTGAAGCTAGTAAATTGTTAATAATTTGTTGTGTATGTGTCTCTTAATCTAATTCTTCATCTACAGTCTTTAAAAACATCCCCTAGAGGGAGTTGGTTCTTTTGCTGGCTGAGTAGTTTACAATACAGAAAGCAGTTGGACTTCTTTCAGATGGTATCTGATGCTGCGTAACATTATTGACATGTTGTGAAGGAAATTCTATGTTATTTTTAAAGCATGAAATGCAGCTGAAATATTTCCATTTTGTGTAGGTTTTGATTTATTTTACAGTGAAATTTGTCTGCCGAATAGTGCACCAGCCTTCATTTGTACCTGTGTAATCTGTCATTTTGAAAACAACACTCTGCAAATCAGTTTTGAAAAATCATGGGTATCCTCTTGAGCACAACAGCTGCTCACAGACTTACCAGGATAAGAAACTGCTGTATGAATGGTCTTTGTTACATATCTCAGTAGCCAAAGTTTTTACTGATGCCATATGTTTTGAAGATACAAAGGCTTTTATGCAAGTGTGACTTGTTGTTACTGCTGACTCTAGTGAATTGAGAAAAGAAAGTAAAACAAATTAGTAAAATACAGTGATAAATGTGAAGTAGCAGGTGCTGGTTTAATAGATTTGTAATTGAAAGTGTTTGTTCCAGTTGGTGGTTTCTTTACTTCTGTGCTTATTGGATTGGATAATGGCCTTGCCATTGAAGACCTTGCTGCAGCCTCTTCATGCTACAGGAGCAGAAAATGATAAGACTGAAAGATCTGTTCTTCATTGTATATATAAGGTACCTGTTCCTTTACTTGCTAAGTGGGAATTTCTGTGTATGGATGTTGTGTCGGTTCTCAGAACTTTCCTGTAAACTGACCTCCATTCTTCTCTACTGCTGAAATGTGGAGTGCTGTCCTTGTTTTTGTCTGTTTTACTGTAACTGCTTGATCTTTGGTATATTTGGAATAGTTAATTTCATTTTTGTCATGTTTAACCAAGCTGCTTTTTGTATATAATACCAGTAGCAGAAACTTCTATTGGAGAAAAGCAGCTATACATTTAACACAGAAAAGGAAGTAGCTTTTTTTATACCAAGCCATTTTATTTAGTGATAAGCAAAGTAAAAAGCACTAAGTTATAATTGCTGTCTGTAGGGACACAGACCAAAGAGACGCTGGTTGGGTTTTTTTGCAAATGCAGGGGATTAAAACGTCCAGCAGCTTAGACCTAGCATATGTAATTAAAGAAGATAGGAGATCTAAAAATAAAGGTAGCTTAGTGATTTGTTGTAAGTTTTATTTCTTTGCTGTTAAATTCCACTTCAGTGTAGACACTTTTTAAACAATTTTCTTTGCAGATAATTATTTGTTTCTGTAAACATTAAGCATCTAAAATTTTCCAACATTTTTTCCTGCCTGCCTGGTTCTAAGAAATCAATTTAAAATGTTAATAAAAATAAACTTAATTTATTGGAAAACTTTCAAGTAGAATTGTGTTAGTTAATGTCAAGAATTTCTGATTCTGTTCTAGGTTCTTCATGGATGTGTCTATGGGTCTCAGTGTTTTAGCAACCCTAAATATTTTCCTCTAAGCCTTTCTGATTTGGCATGTATGGATTACGATCCTTTTATGCATTTAGAAAGCTTGAAGGAACCAGAACCACTGCATTCTCCAGACTCGGAGAGATCTTCTAAACTTCAGCCAGTCACTGAAGGTTTGTCGAATTACCTAAATATATTTTCTTTCAAGAAGATTTTATCTTGGTTTCCAGTATTGAAATGTTTGTCTAAAGCGTAAGTTTTAAATTATACCTAGACAAGAGGTAAGAACCGTTAGGATGGAATGAGCTAACATAATTTTGAGCAATTACTGTTCGATTAACTGAAATAAGCATCGTCTGAACAACATGAAGATCAATTTGATATGGATTTTTCTGTGCTCTGTGTATCAGCAAAAAGTGTTAAGTACTGCAACACGGATAAATGTTGCTTTTCGTTTTACTTTCAGTAAGTTAATTTTTTTTTCTTAATTTTTCTCCCTTTTGTAAGAACATTTTCAATTTTTTCCTGTCTGAGCTTGCATTATTGAAAACTTTCTGTGAATTTTTTTAGCCTATCATAATTTGTTGTTGATCTGTTTATACTGTTTAAAATCAAGGATTTATCTGAAAAGAGATAAATTTTCTCTCATCTGCTTAGAACCTTAAGAGACCTGGGAATTAGGGTTTTCTTCAGAAGACAAAAATTAAAATTAAAATTAAGAATCTAAGCAACAGGGGAGTAGCATATACTATGCAATGTATCTAGTAAATATCAAATGGCTACACTGGGATGAAAAATGAAAAATATGAGATTAATACTGATACCAGAAATTCTGTGTAGTGCTATTCTCCCTCCATATTAAGTTGTTCCATTTAGGCTTCCTTAAAGGTATTAAGAACCAGATAAATGCAGAAGCTCTTTGTAGCAGCTGTGTGCTAACAGCAGGTGATTTTGTGGTGTGTAGTGACTACGTGCTGTTTTTTATGTAGAGAAAATGGCTAATCATTGTGCCCTTGTCTAAGGCATGCTTCATCATCCTCAAGTACTTTTTTGGCCAAAGAATTCTAAACATAGAGCTGTCCCCTAATAAGCTCAGTATTGGATTGAACAAGTCTGATTTGAGAACTATTGGCAGGAGGAACTGTAATTATTAAATTTACTGAAGAATGAAGCAAGGTACTATAGTTGGCTTTTTGTCAAATGACTGTGGTCTTATTAGTAAAAAGTAATCATCTGCTGGGTCAGAATGAAAGAGGCTTCGAAGGATTCATTCTGTCCTAATTATGGTCTCACCTATACATATTATGTAAAGCTAATATTTAAAGCATTTGCCAAAATTAACTTCCACTGCATGTTCTATTACAGTGTAGTGAATTGTAGTAGCTTTTTATGCCTGGCATCTTTTGTATTCTGTAATAATCTGTAATTATGGGTTAGAAGCAAATGCTGTGTGGCTTGTTTAATCTGACAATCTGAAAAGACAACCCTGAATAGATTTCTCTTTAAATGAATGTAGTTGCATAAAGCCTTAGCATCGATATCTTCATTTTGCATTTCCGTGCGTGATCTGTTCTTTTATGATTTCTTGTTAAATTTCTAAATGAAAGTAATTTCAGAGGTTCCTTTTATCTCTCCAGATGAATTAAGGAAGTGCCATATGTTTTTAAATTTTAAGGGCTCTGGAATTGTAAGTCAGATTGTGAAATTGAATTGGCAATGCAACCCTGGTCTTGCAACCTTGGCTCTTCTAATCCACATTGCCAAACAGAGAAAAAAATTGGCAGTGCTTAACCGATCACACAGCAGCTGTTCTCTGTGGCATTGTTGAAGGAGTGAGAGGACTAAAGTTAGTGGATAACAACCACTCTGGGACTTGATCAAGACAGGAATCAATTAGTGCAGAGCAAAATGCTGGTGAGTCAACCTTTTTTTTAGTAGGGTAAAAGTGCTATCATTATTAATTTTTTGAAGATGGAAATGGTCAGGACAGCAGTTATAGGGAAATGAGGAAGTTATGCAGACAGAGTGGGAATTGCTAGACTCTTTCCTTGGGTCACAGCAAAGCTGAAAGTACTGAAATGCCAGAATTCTGAGGACAGAGTGCTTTTGACCAGTTTGATACCTGTGATGGACATGCCTTAGTATGCCTCCCATTGTGTTAGGTCAGATCCATCACAAGTTTTTTGGACACTTTGCCACAGTATGATGTGGTATGAAACCATGAAGATATGTGACTTTCAGTGATACAGCTGTGTGGTGGGGACAGGACCTATTGAGAGGCTGGAGCAAGCCTTCAGGTTTACGTCAGAGTTGGTAAATCCTCTGGAAACAGGTAATGTGAGGAGACATTTTTTTGAGGCATTGGAGCAGCCTGCCCAGGAATGTGGCAGAGGCACTGTCCTTGGAGGTGTTCAAAAACCATGCAGATGTGGTGCTTCAGGAGATGTTTTAGGGTAGACGGTTGGACTTGATGATCTTGTGGCTCTTCTAATCCACATTGCCAAACAGAGAAAAAAATTGGCAGTGCTTAACCGATCACACAGCAGCTGTTCTCTGTGGCATTGTTGAAGGAGTGAGAGGACTAAAGTTAGTGGATAACAACCACTCTGGGACTTGATCAAGACAGGAATCAATTAGTGCAGAGCAAAATGCTGGTGAGTCAACCTTTTTTTTAGTAGGGTAAAAGTGCTATCATTATTAATTTTTTGAAGATGGAAATGGTCAGGACAGCAGTTATAGGGAAATGAGGAAGTTATGCAGACAGAGTGGGAATTGCTAGACTCTTTCCTTGGGTCACAGCAAAGCTGAAAGTACTGAAATGCCAGAATTCTGAGGACAGAGTGCTTTTGACCAGTTTGATACCTGTGATGGACATGCCTTAGTATGCCTCCCATTGTGTTAGGTCAGATCCATCACAAGTTTTTTGGACACTTTGCCACAGTATGATGTGGTATGAAACCATGAAGATATGTGACTTTCAGTGATACAGCTGTGTGGTGGGGACAGGACCTATTGAGAGGCTGGAGCAAGCCTTCAGGTTTACGTCAGAGTTGGTAAATCCTCTGGAAACAGGTAATGTGAGGAGACATTTTTTTGAGGCATTGGAGCAGCCTGCCCAGGAATGTGGCAGAGGCACTGTCCTTGGAGGTGTTCAAAAACCATGCAGATGTGGTGCTTCAGGAGATGTTTTAGGGTAGACGGTTGGACTTGATGATCTTGAAGGTCTTTTCCAGTCTTGATGATTCTGTGACAGAAGAGGACTATTCCCCTCTCTATTTCAGTAGTATTTCAAGTGCTGTCTCTCACAGGGAATCTTATAACTAGGATTATACTGGAATTTGCCTTTGTCTTCCGTTCTGTAAAGGTTTCAGGTAAGGTGATAGATTGCAGTGTAAGGTACACAAAGAATAATTTTGAAATTAAATGTGAAGTGTATTAAACTATTATATTTAAACCAGAGTGAACTTTTAGCAGCTGACAATAAAGTCGTCAGTCAGAAGCTTTTCTTGCATCAGCAGCACTTGCAGTCAGCAGGTCTGTGGTGCTTTCATGCATCTAAGAAAGCACAGGGCTCATCTCTGTGAAGGCTAATGAACTGATCTGCCTAGCTAGGATCGACACCAGCCTCTTCTAGCTATTGTACAGGTGTACAAGTGCTGCCTGTGCTAATTAACCACACCTAACTAGCCTCAGTTGGTGTCACAGTGACAGAGGTATGATTTCTCCAGGGATAGTAGCCCTTCACCATATAGTTTATATGTGCAAAAGTTGACTTGGACTGCATTGTGGCGTGATCTGTGTACCTGCTTCTGATTTTTTACCTGTCATTACAGGACCGTGAACATATATGAGGGAGAATTAAAATAGAAACTCTCCTTAAAAGCTTGTTTGTTGTTGATATTGAATGATTAAAATATTGAGGAAAAAGTAAAATTAAGTTTTTCGTGACCCTTGTGTTGACAGGGAAACTGGTTACATGAAAATACATTGCAGTACTATACATCTTCCAATGTTAATAGCAATATCAGACTATTGAGTATATAGTCATAAGGAAAGAATATTTTAGGGTTGGGTTTTTTTTGCAATTATAGGTAAAAACATTTTGAAATCTGTTCTTCATAGCTCACAAATCTGTTAGAGATGGTTGTGATTGGAAGATGGCAGTTGCATTGCATAGATACAGTGATCCATCAATCATCGATTGTCATATTTCTGCAAGCATACTTGAAACTCTTTTGCATAGAGTGATCATTTTTCCCAATACATTCAATTTCTTCAGGAAAGGTTTCCCCCATCTGATGTTTGGTCTTAGCTTTTATTTAAAAATTTGAAATATAAAGTACTTTTCTTCTTTAGTGTTTGCCTTTTTTCTAAAAGGAGACCAAAAGTACACTTTTTAAGAAACACTTTTTACATGGTACATCCAGACTAGCACATTTTGTGCTTGGTGAGCAAAATTATAGAAGTTCTCTGTAGCTACATGTCTGTACCTGAAGCTTTAGATTAGAAAGGAGTAAGAGTTCCTTAAGCTAATGTAAAATACAGGTAGCTAACCTAAACTGAATGCTCTTGGGCTCCTTCTAAACATAATGGAGAAAGAGAAGAGTTTCCAGAGTGATTCATCCCATTTCTCCAATTTGGATTTCTAAATAAGATGAATCAGTCTGTAAAGATGCATCGTTCTTTAGTTAGCTAAAAGGGTGAAGAGAGTTAAATTCCACCCTCGGTCATAATTTTTTCCTTCTACTACATGACCGTTGATGTTTAGAAACTGTTCAGCCAAATTTAAATTCAGGAGTTAACAACATACCTTGAGGAAATTCAGGAATCCTCCATTCATGCCACTGATACAAATTAGTGGTGATGGACCTTCAGCCTTTCCACAGAGGTGATTTCAGGGTTTGAGAAAAATAACCAGTATAACCTGCTTCTAGCAAATTGCCAAGTGATCAAGTATACGTATAAATTACATTGCCCAAGCAAAAGACTGTATGGCTGTAAAGAGAGCAGAGAGGAGTTCACTTAGGAAGCCAGCTGGACTGCTTTAATGTGTAGGGGTATGGCTTAGTTTGTAGAATTTGTGGTAAAGCTGTGATGGCTTGCATTGTGTATTTTGATCTACCCTCCAGAAACAAAGAGCATGTTTTAGATACTCATTTTCTGAATTCTAATATATTGAATGTCCAGTTTTTCCTGATGGAGGAGATGTGCCTCTGGGAACAGATTACTAATATGTATCCTTTTAGATTGTGAATCTAACTTAAAATTCGTATTTTCAAAAAGCATTACTGGGTTTGGGGGTTTATTTTGCTAAGGAAAATCATCACCAAAATCTGATTTTCTCTGTGGCAAAAATGTTTTGAGACTGCTTCATTTTCTTTTCAACATAACAGGTTGCATCTTACAGTTTCCTTTTCAGTATGCTGTTCTTAATACTTCTGATTTAAGTTTTCTGTGTCATTTTTAGATCAACAATACTGTATTCTGAGAGAAGGCTCAATGAGAAGTATTTTCTCTTTTTATAAAGGAGGCGATGACAGATTTATATTCCAATTCTTTTTTTATTTTAATCCAAGAGTAAAATTTTCAGAGAAAGACTATGGTGGGTTGGGGAATGGACCTTCCAAATTTAAATTTGATGTTCTGCTTTTTGTGTCATTGTATCACCTTTCTTTTCCATATGTCCCTTGGACTTCTAAGGAAGTAAATTCATGCACACAGGCACAGTAAAACCATGGTCAGGTTTGAGATCATTAGGGTTTGCTACAGAGCAGTAGTAGTAATAACTTAGATGCTAACAGGTCCCTCTCACTTCTTCAGGTTTTCAGCAGAACTTAACTGAAGGCATTTAACCAATGCAGTGTGAGACTCCAGGAAAGCTCACTTGTCTTTGCTCCTAGGAACCTGAGAAGAGCATTGCCTTTCTTATCTGTGCAATGCCAAGTGCTAAACACTTGGCATAAATATCCTGACAAAGATGAGCCAGCCGCTGCATTGTCCGGGTGCTGGTTAGTACTGCACTGATAAATTATCATTCAAGCATCCAACTTATTTCATCTTTGCCTTGTATAAACTTTCTTACAGTTTCTTCTGATATTTCAGCAGGTGGCACTATAACTTAATTTCCTTGTATGCTATCAATATCTGGACATTTAATTCAGCTCCACTGAATGCTTTTGTATTTGTAAATATTAAACCTCAAGATGGTTCTAGGTAATAAACATTTAATATCTAATTTGTTTATATTCGTTTTCAAGTTTAATAGTCTCAACTATTAAAATAGTTGAGTTTATCTGAGTTGTGGAATAGTAAGTTCATATTGCTAGCTATTAATAGGATTAAATGTTTCCTTTTTTGCAATTTAGATCTCCCTCAAGGTAGAGAAGAGCCAGAATCCCAGGCACCTCTTACATGCTTTACCTAAGCCTTGAGGAGGAAAAAAAAAGGCAAATGTTTACTAATTGTTTACTTTCACAGATGGAGAACACATCCAGTGCTTCAGAAACTAAAGATCTGTCATAAAAGTCTGTATGCATGACAAATTTGCCTTAATTTTTCCAGTGAAACTAATTAAGACACCTTAAACTGCAAAAAGAGATTTGTTTATTAAAAATTAGTTTTTATTGTCTAGAAATACAAAATATAAAAGGACATCAGTCAATTATATCATGCTCACATGTCCAAGACATTGTATTTTCTCAGTAAATAATGAATTAAAAAATTATGTTGTTCAGAATGCTGCAGTTTGATTTGTGGCGAGAATAAAGGTGGGAAGTGTTTATAGCAGTTTTCAATGTTTTATATAGTTTGAAATGTAATCCTGAGGAATGCAGTCTTGATTTGTCTTCCCCTTTTGAATCCCAAATTCAGGACATTCAACAGGTTCTGTTACAAGAGAGAAGAAGCTGCAGAAATAAGTGCTTTGCCATTGGGATCCTGTTTTTCTTTTCTTGCTGTGATCTTACACAGTGTAATACTTCTGCTCATGAGTTCTTCAGCAGGTACCCTGAGCCAGCTGAGGGTTTTCTGCTTTGACTCGCTCTGTACTTCATGAGTAACATAAAGGGGATTTGACAGAAGAGTCCAATGCCAATAAAGTGCTTGGTTAGCAAGGTGTGATATAAACATTAAGGAATTCTTTTTATGAATTCAGAAAACACTGTGTGCAAGTGCAAGGTATGCAACAAAGAAGGAGGTCACAAAACCATATTGAAATACTAGTATATTTCACAAGATTAATGGAAGAGGGGGAGTCTTTCTTGCTGCAATTTTTTTCAGACTGAAACTTCATAAAATGCAGTTGAGGCATGAGATTAGCTTTTTAAAAACTTTGCTACTGTTAGATTGTGTACAGGATAGAAAGCCTGGTCTTTGATTTGGTTCTTTAAAATCATCCAGCATTGTTTTCAACCTAACCTGCAGCTATATGGCCCCCAGGGAAATTAAGATGGGTTAGAGGCTTTGTGTATCTATGTTCCTTTGTGCATAAATATCACAATCCATTGCAGATGTAAATAGGCTTCGTACAACATGACTATGATCTCTACTTCATCAGTGATTTAAGATTTATTTTCACTACATTAAGAAACTGTATTATAGCAGAAGCATGCTGATGAGAAAGCTATGTTAAGGAGGTATGGTAGGCTGTACTACAGTGAAGAAGCGTTTTTAATGATCTTATAATTTTTCACACTATATATATTTGAGACTTTTTTTTAATAAAAAATGTTTTTCATTACTGAGTTGGCTGTATCCTAACCTTGCAGTGCTCATCCTCTGTTCAAGATTCACAAGGAAGAGAAAACCAGAAAAAATGTATAAATCTTATTGTTGTTTTCGGAATTCTCCTTTTAAAACTTATGTTCATTCTCTTGCAGTGAAAACTCACATGCAACAAGGATTAATTTCTGTTGCTGCCCGTACTGTGATAACACACCTAGTCAACCACTTAGGCCACTACCCTATGAGCGGGGGTCCTGCTATGCTAACCAGTCAAGTGTGTGAAAACAATGACAATCCGTACAGTGAAAGCCCTGAACTTTCTCCTGAACTTTTTGAGAACCCAAATCTTCAATTCTTTGTTTTAAACAACACTTCTCTGGTGTCTTGCATACAAATCCAAGCAGAAGATGACATGCCTGGGGGTGGACTGTCTGCTGGACTTGCATCTGCTAACTCAAATGTTAGAATTATTGTGCGTGATCTGTCTGGCAAGTACTCATGGGATTCTGCCATTTTGTATGGACCATCATCTTTCTGTGGATCTTCACAGCAAATGTCTTTTTCGCTTTCCTTATCTCAGCAAGATAAAACAGAAGATGCTCTTTCATCTTTTGAGCAAGTGGAGGATGTATCGACGAGGGATGGAATTACACTTCAAGTAAAGAGGAAATTTAGAGACACTGTACCAACATGGGATACGATTAGGGATGAAGAAGATGCCCTTGATGAGCTCCTGCAGTATTTAGGTGTAACAAGCCCTGAGTGCTTACAGAGAACTGGTGTCTCACTGAACATTCCTGCCCCTCAACCAGTCTGTATCTCAGAGAAGCAGGAAAACGATGTCATCAATGCAATTCTGAAACAGCACACAGAAGAGAGGGAGTTTGTTGAAAAGCATTTCAATGATTTAAATATGAGGGCTATGGAGCAGGATGAGCCAACCTCACAAAAGCCTCAGTCAGCATTTTACTACTGCAGATTACTTCTTAGTATACTGGGAATGAATTCTTGGGATAAAAGGTAAAAAAGAAAAGGTTTGCAATTCAATAACTTCCTCTTAAGGAATTGTGCTGTTTTTACTGTGTAAGAATAGTTGATCATAGAGTGAGTTAAGCCAATAGGGAATGTGCAGCTAAGGGGAAACTGGCAGTTTTCTTCTGTATTTCATCCTGTCGTTTAGAGAGCCAGAAAGGATCAACCTGTTGCCTTCATGGCTATTTATATTCTTTCCTCAGAACAGTGTTTTAAGAATTGAAGGACTGACATCTTTTCTAATAATCCTTTCACTAACTGTACTAAGGGTGAAGAAGGCATCTTTTTTGCTTTCTTTGCTTCCCATGTGTGTTTCTGCCAAAATCGTTGCCTTTCTGTGCCAGAATGAGACTCTGAAAGTGTCATATTCTCAGCAATTGTGTTGCTGGACAGTGTCCTGCTGCTTTGCCTGCTAAGAGCATGCCAGCATGCAGACTCAAAGCATTACACCTGTGTTAGCTAACTAGAGAGATGTGTCCCCTAGTATTTATTTCAACATTGGCAATGTTTGGGTGTTGTTTAGAACAACAGGAGAAAAGCCAGTTTCAGTTACAAAAATAGTGTCTCTGCATTATTATTTTTCTGTATGAAAAGGTCTGCATATACATGTGAGTATGTACAGATATCATCATTCTAGAATTCGTCTTCCCAAAATATTTTGTCATACCTTTCAAATTCTATATTAGAGTAATTGAAATATTTTCTTGCTATGAAAGGAAATGGATATTCTATCAGAATAGTCTATGTCACTGAAGTGTCACTGGAATTGGCTTATTTGGGTTTTGAATTCCTGAAGGTAGTCTGGTTTTGTATAGTACTGCTATTACACTCCTTCTACTGTGTTTTATGGGAAACATCATAACTGCAGTTTAAAAAAAAATGAAAAGTGCCTTTTTTGCTGTAATGTTGTTGGTTTTTTTTCTTCTTTAAATTGTTACAGCTGGCTGAGTGACTAGTGAGCTACATTCTGCTCTCTTCAGAATAGCAAAAGCTCTGTGTTTATTACACTACCTCCCTAGAACAGTAGGTTATGGGAGTGTCTTGTCACTAAGCCACATGTATTTTGGCTTAGCAAAGTGTGCAGCTTATATGTGCATCAAAGGGAGTTCTGTCTGTTCTTCAGTAGAGCAGAGGTTGATCCCAGTTGGATCCAATAGGTTGAAAGAAGAAAGTGAAAAGAAATAAAGGTTGTGCTCAGGGCTGTAGTGGATATAGAAGATTTCTTGGAGTAAAAAAAAAAAAAAGCTTCTGTGTTTTTTAAAAGTTAACATTTTGTGTAAGAAAGGACTTTTGAAAAGATGAAAGCATTTGTTGACTGTTCTTGCATAGGTGTGGAAATGGTCTTGTACCATTCTTGTACTGTTCTGTATCCATGACTGAACAGGTGATAAGAGTTACGAATTTCTCTATTTAGAAGGAGCTTTCATCTCCTGAAGAAAAATGAGAAGTTACTTCGAGAACTCAGAAATTTGGACTCAAGACAATGGTAAATTATTTTAATGGCTGCCTACTTATTTATTTTAAGTGCATTTGTAATTAAATGGCTCTGACTGTGTAAATGTGAGAGTTGAACTAATTCGTAAAATGTATTCTTAAATTGGTTGTGTATTTTGCACTGTGTTGTAATATTGGTGCTATATCGAAGTTACATTGGTGTTATTTGTAGATCTACAAATAGTATTTTAAGACATGTTAGTATTTTAAGACATTCTAGTTGGACTTGTAGCACAGACTTAAAAACTTGGAATAGTTTTTGTAGAAGTTGAAACCAAATACAGTGGAGGTTTTAGAAGTGTGAGAAATCACCTTCAGTTCCTCCAGAGTCTAACAGCAAGCTGTGAAGAGAAGACATTACTATAGTACTTAAGATTGTTCATTAAGCTGCATAAGCTGCATTTGCCACAGCACTCACAAGGCACTGCTGTTAATGGGCACTGCAGTGTCAAAAATGCCTGTGTTACAGGTTTTGCTCTTTTCACAAGCTCAACTATTCCATTAGCAATTGGTATTGCCAGCAGCATCCTACACCTTAGAAGTGATGAAAGGGATAAATGCTGTTCATGTGTAGCAAATTTCAGGCTCTAGGGAAGACCAGGCTACAAAAGACAGAATGGGAATATGGAAATACAGAATGTATTGGAAAAAAAAAAAAAGCCACACAGGTGCACTTCCACTATCTTTTGCAAAGTTCTAAAAGCCATGTTCTGTGTGTACTGCTTGCATATTTTGCTTTCATACTAGTAAAGGTACTGTCATGCAGTGACCATCCTCTGTTTTACAGCCGAGAGACACACAAGATTGCAGTGTTTTATGTTGCTGAGGGTCAAGAAGATAAACACTCCATTCTAACTAATACTGGAGGAAGTCAAGCCTATGAGGATTTTGTAGCTGGTCTTGGCTGGGAGGTATTTACTAAAACTTTCTTATCCTAAGTTTGTTTACAGAGAAAATTACAGATCTGTTAAGATATTATGAATCTTTGGCTCTTTAGCATTGCTCACAAGTGCTGAAAAACACTGTTTTGCAAGTAGGATGTAGAGAAGAATTCTGGATTTAATTTCATTAGTAATGCTAGCTATTTAATTTTAAGCTCTTTCAATTTAAGAGAGTTTGTGCCAAAGAGATGATTCTTTAATGTGCAGTTCAGTACTTGGCTTTTATGGACTGATTAGGAGGCATCTCGATTTCCCTGTAGGCTTGTAAAGTGTGAAGTCTACGGAAGTTTGAGTTTTGCTCAAATTTGGGAATCTAAAAATTACAAACCTGAGCTTCTCTCATGCTTCTGCCTTCCACTGCAGGCACATGTATGTTCACAGACTCTGTCCACCTGTCTTCCAGCAGTCAGAAATACTGTGAAATACCCCATCATCTATATGGACCTGCAACTCTTTAGTCACCAATGAGATACTGCTACAAGAATTTCCTTTTTTGCGTTCTCTCTTTTTGACCACACAGGATTAACTTCCATTGTAAAATTCACTTTGGCCCTGTCACAGAAGTACAGGAATTACACCTGCTCCTGGCTGGATGCATAAGAATCTGCAGGTTTTCTGTTCCTCTTGTGACTTGTGTTCATCAGGAGTGTCCACATGAGTGCCCATCTTGTTTGTTCTTTTTCTTACACCTTAGATATATAAGAGGATTACTAGATTAGCTGTGTGGGTAATGACTGTGACTTTTGCACAGGAACAGAGGAAAACTGCTAGAAGTCTGCTGACTCTCACAAATGTAAATATTTATTGCCATCACTCCAGATTCTTCAGGAGAAAAAAGTAAATCACGTTAGTGTCTTCAGATATCCTTCTGTAGTGGGTTAATTCTTTTGGCCTTAATTAGCAAGATTAAAAAGTTGCTAATTTGGATTAATATTCCTTGATAAGACATATAACATTTTAACCTCTTAACATGAAATTCTGGATCCTTTTTTAACAGAAAAGCAAATATATCCCGTGTGAGCAGAGATTAAACATATTCACATCTGAGATACAGGGGCACTGTTGTAAAAGTGAAATAGTGCATTAAACAAGCTTATTGATTTTAGTGCCAAACTATTTCCTATAGGGTTAAGACTTACAAACGTACTTAGAAATTATCAGTTTGTTTCTTGTGATAGTGGCACAATGAAAATTTCTTAAGAGAATATATGTAAAGTAACACAAGGTTTTTTCAGTGCTCAGGTCAAAACTGATGTGATGTCACAGAATTTTTAAAAAAATAAAAAAGCACAGTCAACTCATAAGGGAATAATGCACTAAATAATAATTTACACAACATTTCGTTTTCTCTGACCTAGTCTTTCCCAGCAGTATGTGTGCTGATAGTGGAGTATTGAATGCCACTCCCATGCTGTTGATTTCCAGCCTAGTCAGCAAGTCTGAACCCTTTTCAAAAAGCAAAACTGTACTATTGTGAATAGAGCCTTCATTTAAAAATGTGTTTATCACCTGATAATTTGTTCTTTTTCTCCTAATGCTTCCTGGGCTTTACTTCTAGGTAAATCTCACAAACCATTGTGGCTTTATGGGAGGACTGCAAAAAAACAAAAGCACTGGACTGACCACTCCATATTTTGCTACCTCGACAGTAGAAGTTATGTTCCACGTGTCAACAAGAATGCCTTCTGATTCAGATGACTCTCTAACAAAAAAGGTAGATATTTCTGAATAACATATTTTCTTTTGATAGTAAACTCAGAGAAATTGGAGTCAAAAGAAAATCCAGTAACTTTTTCTAAAAAATCCCCACAAACTATTGTAATACCTTTGCCTGCTAATAGTTTGGCATTTTACTGAAGGTAGGTTGAGCCATATAAATTATTCTCTACCAATTTCAAGTTTTGCCATACTGGTAATTTGTGCCATCATTGCAAATGCTGGCAGGACACATGGGGATCCTGTGAAACGGTTAAAAATGAAGGGAGGTAATGGTTTGTATATAAAAAGCATTACATCTGAAGGATTTTTTTTGTACTTTGAGACTTTGAATGCAAATTAATAAATATGTGATGAGTACTTTCTAAGATGACTTTTTATACTCTTTAGAGTCAGGTACTATGTATTAATATAATTTTCCCTTTAAAAAAAAGTTGAAAGTATGAAAAATTCGACATTTATTGTATATAAGTTTTGTTATCTTGGAGCAAGCACAAATGTTTAACAGTGGTATGGTGTTATAGTGACATTAAGAAAAAAATTGTTTTCTGTATTGGTATTTTTTTCTTTAGAATTTAATAAATTCCACATTAGTGATAACAAGTTACAGTCTCAAATATGTGTCCTATTATAAATGAACAATTTGCTGTCATTAGACTGTCCCCTGTCCTACGTACATACATCTTCAGATGTGCTAATCCATTCAGTAGACACGTTAATGAGCACTGGTTGAAGTGTAATATTGGAGGAACTGAAGCTGGTTGACCTCAGCATGGAGTTTAATACTTGTAATTAAATTAGACAGTAGACAGTTAGTAAGGAGAGAAATAGCCATGCCTCTGGCAAGCTTCAATTATTAATGGCTGTTTTGTTCTTTGTGTTCAACTTGAAGAAAAAAATATTATAGTTATTACTATAGACTGACTAGGAGTTTTAACTTCTCGCTGTCAAGTCTTAAGTTTGGTGTTTTTTTTAATTGAAAAATGTTTTTTCTTGTATGTTTATGGTACTAGGTCCTCTCTGTCTTTTTTTTTCCGAAAGGGTAGCCAGGCTAATAGTTAGGCTGTTAAATGATTTTTAAAAGTACTTTGGTAGCAATAAGAACTAATTTTAAAATAAGATTTTTGCTGTGGTTCTAGTGTAGAACAGTGTGTGTATATATTTTCTTTTTCTAACTTGACTGGCTTCTGTATTTTATAAACAGAAACTTGGTTTTTATAAAACACAGCTTGTAAATATCCTTACCCTATTTGTTCATAAATTGTTTGGTTTAGAGCATTAAAAAGTGTTGACAGGGGGGAAGATGATCACAGAGAAAATTAATCACTAATAGATCATTTGCAAATGCTGCATAGTTCAGCAGAAGATATGGGCAAGGTCTCATATCTGTTGCCAGGATCACCGTGAATGTACATGTAGCTGTTTCTGCCAGGCAAGGTTCAGTGCTGGTCCCAGCTTCCTGTCATTTAGCTTGTGAAAATTATGTCAGCTGTTAACAACTCCATCTTACCCCAGGCATATTTCTCTCCTCTTTTACCCACAATCTCATTCTTCAGTAATTCTGAAGATTTGAGGTCTTTATGGATATATAGAATGTATCAAAAGATTGGAGTTGTAGCTCAGCTGTTGATGGGCTGTTTAATCAAGCTGCTTGATTTCTGTGTCACTTCCTTGTTCTTCCAAGGTGTGTATTTTTCTTCTTCTTTCTAAAGGCCAGTTTCCCAATGAATGGAGGCTTGTGAACCTGCCTTTATGTCTCTCTTTCCTTCCTTAACACCTTTTGGCCCATTTCAATCTTACATAATAGATTCAAAGGTGTTAATTTCAGGTATGTTTAATGAAGATAAGCTAAGAAAAGGAGACAGAGAGACTCTTAGTGCTCTAACTCAGCAGGTAAAGCCTGCATGGGAAGAAGCATGGGAAGGACAAAAAAATGATCTGACAGTCATCCCAAACTTGAGAAACTGAAGTTTGCATCTTGAGAGAAATGAGCAAGTGGTATCAGGAGACGTGAGTAGGAAAAGAGACTTTTAATTCTTTTACTCATTCTGCAAGTACTCATGCTGCTTAAACTGAACACATCAGGAAAAGGAAGGTGTTCCGTGAGATTCTGTCCAGCTTAAACACACTATAGGTGACCTCTAAATCATGTGAGAGCGGTGTGTGTGCTGACAATTCTAATTGTTCTGAGTGCATGTACTGTTTGTCACCTCCAGAATAACTTGAGTTTTGAGCTTCTGTACAGCTCTTCGATGTACTTTGTCTATTTCATTCAATGGGAGAAAAACAAGCAAACTTGTGGTAGTTGGCTTAGAACTGCTGCTGCTTTTTAGATTGTAAATGTGCCTAGAGGTGCATGATAGGTTCATCTTATAAATGGAAATTAAATTAAATTAAACCAAAACTTCTTCCTGCCAGTCCAGTCGCTGCAAAATCAAGATTCTGCTGTTTCAGAGGCTAAGTCAATTTTAAACTTATTTTCCATCAGTCTTACTGAGTAGTAAATAAAACTTTTAAGTGTCTTGTATACCTGTGAAGCATTTGATTCTGAAGACATGAACAAAAGCAAGAAAAGACATTAAATCGGTGAGAAGAGATGAAAAACTTCTGAGCATGTAAAAGAACTTAACACTAACATGCATATATAAAATAGGCATGTAATTTGTAAATAGTAAATTAAAGATTTAGTGCTGACAATGCAATCCATTTGTTTTTCTTAAAATTAATGGTTAGATTAAAAAATTAAAAGTATTTACACTACCCTTACAAGAACAAACTTACAAAGAAAATATCAGGATTAAATGAAACTGCAAAGTCTCTCAATTAACAGAATGAGAAATCTCATATATATTCCTCTACAGCTTATCATCTGTCTGGCTTCTCCTTCCTCAGCCTGATAAACAAGTGAAGGTATTGTAGGTGAGAATATTACACACAGGATATGTAAATAAAAAGCAGTAATGTTATTAATGATTGGAATACTAATTCATCATGGGCTTTGAGTATATTACATGATTCTAGGTTGTGTGTGGCATTGTCCTAACCACATGAAATATTTCTAGCCCCCAGTATTTGTATCTTTATTATTATTGTTGTTGTTGTGGTGGTATGGAACTTGAAGGTTTATCAAAATAAGCTAATAGTACAATTTTTTTTAAAGTTACAATTAAGTACATGTGTTGCTTAAAAAAAACCCCTCAAACAAATACACCATAGTTGTTTTAACAGTTTTGTGAACAATTCAACTAGAGGGTACCTATGCTGTAGGCAGCAATGCTGCTTACATTTAATGGACAAAAGTAGCTGCAGTGAGCTATTACTTCAAGTGTTTCTGCTCCTTCTATTCTTTTTATAAGGAACACTTTTATTTTTAAAGAAGAAAAAAAGTTGGGACTTGCTGTTGTACCATAAGAAAAGATAATAGCCTTTTTTTCTCCCTCCTTTAGGTAAGTGGGTATCAGAAATTGCAGTAATTTTGGCAAGAGTTCAAGGGTTAATGCAACAGATAAATAAAAGGAATTTTCTGTAAATTGAGCCCTGCATTATTTCACTTGTCTTGCCTTTCCAAACCTAACTCATTTAATTTTAAAAAGTAAATACTTAAATTCTTCCTGACAGTATGCTTTGCTTTTACTATCGTTTATTACTTCAATTATACTTGGTATCACTTAGAACAATCTGCCATTTGGAAATTTCAGTATAGCCTGCAGCTTAGTATTAAGTCTGGCTGCTATTGTAACATGTACAGCATATGACACTAATGTATCAAAATTAGATTTGATCATCCCTCCTGGTTATATTTATTTCACGTTTCTTTTGTATTCAGTTAACATAAATGTATTAGGAGAGCTGACACATGATGATGGCTATAGAGTAAGAATATTTTAAAGTATTTTGAGTTAAATTTGAAATTTCAGGTAACCTAACAGTCAGTCATTTTTATATATTTGTTTTTATGGAGTAGAGTTTCAAAGCAAGCCTCAAAATATCTGTTTGTCTCCAAAATCTCCTCGAGGCTGTCTAACCGACAGCTCAGGTTCAAAATAGCTGAAACAGAGAGCTCTTAATCTCTTTCTCATTGCCACCTTTCTGGATCACCACAGATAACATGACCATTGTGCCTGTAACTTGTGCCCACAGCCTGAAATCATCTTTAGTTTGGTTCACTTTCTGGATTCTTATGTTCAGTCTGTGCTTAAGACTGTTCTTTATTCTATGTTAACATTTCTTGCAATGTAGCCTTTCCATACCCACAGTTAAAATTTATCCACTGTATCCTGAACTGTTATTTTGGTTGCTGAACTTTCCATTCTCTGACCTTGACACTTTCATTCTTGAAGAATGCTGCTATAAGAAGACATTTTTCTTATTCTTAATGCCTTTTTACAGTTTTCTGCATTTGTCCATCTCCATTTCGTGTCTTGCCTTATGCTTAAGTAATAAGCTCTACAGCAGTTTGATCTGCATTTGTGCAGTATTTAGCATTTCAGAATATGGATAGGTAACCTCTATTTCCAGGTGTTTCAGCAATAGGGTATTACCAGTTACTTGAAGTATTAAATTGTTTTGGAGATTGTTATTATTTATATTATTGCTGTACTTTATTTCTCTAATAGGGATTTGCACTTCGTTTTCCTTACTGTAATTTATGGACATACAAAGTTTTACATTTAGGAAGACAAGGTCAGGAAATGAGTGTGAAGATGTAGTTGCTTAAACAAATGGTGGTGAGTTTTGAATAACCATTAACACAGATTTCAGTCCTGGTACCTGAACATTCTGTGTGTCCGAAATCTGATTCTTTTAGCTAACACTGGGACCATACCTTCTGCTTGGGAAACCATATTGCTGTCTGTCCTTTAGGTTTCAATGAGCCGAGGTGGTTGTAGCTCAGTGTCTTTGTACCACCTGTGTCCAGGACACTGAATTCTGGGATGCTTTCAGTTCAGTACAAACACATGAAGAATCCAGATTAAAGTTGAAAGAGGTCAAGCTCTGACTCTTCTGTTGCATAAGAATTTTAGTGGATGATGGATTCTTCAAATGTTTACTGTGCATGCAGGAGAATTTTGTCGTGGAGCACTGCTCAATTTCAAGGTCCTTTAATAGGGAACTGAAAAATGAGGCAGAAAAACTGAAATCCTTCTTTCTAAAAAGTTTACACAAAATCTAGCACACCTTGGAAAGCTTTTCAAGACAATTTAATGTATTGGTCCTCTTCCATGAATCAAATGTTGTTAACAAGTCAAGTTACCACCATTCTAGCTTTTTCATAAACTTTGTTTGCCGACTGAGGTGAGGCCATCTGAAAGAAACAATAAGAAGCACTATATTAGTGTTGTAGCTTCTTCTGGTCTGCTCTTGAAAAAGGAACAGAGTTCCTTTGCACTTTCACAGAAGTGCGAGAACTGATTGATGTCCTGTAATATTAGCTGCAGGTATCAGTAACAGTTACACAAGTGGCAACCTTTGATAAATGAAATTCAGAGGCAATAATGCCCTCAAGAAGCTGCACTATCTAAACTCTCTATATGTTTTGGATTTTGGATCTGTTTGCTTGGCTTGTATGCTGTCACCTTTCCTTATTTCTAATAGTGTATGAGTTTGTCTTTGAGTCCAAAGAAAGTAAAGGAGGGCTAATTCTTCTAGTAAATAGTGCAATAGTGCTGAATTAGAAGTGGTGCAGTGCAATGATGGATGTATCAGACTTAATTCTTCTTTTTGGCAGTCAGTTCAGTAAGTTCAGTTCAGTCAGTGCACCAGATGGCCATCCCTCAATCTAGGATGATGCAATTTGTTCATCTTTCAAAAGGTTTCATAGCTAAACTGATTCCCGTTTTGCTTTCTGTTTGGTTAGGCAGCCTCATCCTTTCTGAGCTTCTCTGTTGCCTCTAAGTGCAAGCCCATCAATCCCTCATGCCATTCTGTTATTGTTGTATTTCAACAGATAGTTTAACTGTCACTTCACCTAGAAGGCAGGAGAGGTTCAGCCTCTGTGAACGATTCCACAGTTAGTTACCTTTTAGCACATTGTGCACTGCTAGGTCTCATCCAAGGTTTCTGCCTCTGGTGTTTGCCTGTTGCACTACAGTCACTTAGGTTGCTGCCTGGTTTTGTTCTAATCCAGTCAAATAAAACTCAGCATAGTGACTGTTGTTATGATGGCACAAGAGCATCCCTAACCAAGTGTTGTTCAAAATCATTAAGCCATTTATAGAAGAGTCAAGAACAGCTCACCTGAAAGGAACTGCAGTCATTGCAAATTAGATGTATGTATGATCTGGTCCAGACAAAACAAATGACTTGCTGAGTATCAGGCAAGATGTAGGGTATCGATGCCATCTGTCCTTTGCCCAGTCCAACACTGAAAAAAAAATTTTCTTGGAGAAATGCAACACTGTTTTTCAGTCTGATGCAATTTAAAGCCAGCAGAAAAGAGCAGAGGCAGCTTATTTTTCCTTTACCTTTTTTTTTTTTTTTTTTAAAGTCTGCAGCTGATAACCAGTATAAACCTTCAGGTAAGATGAAGGTAGCATTCTAGGAGATTCTGTAGTATGAATACTTGCAATGAAATTTCTCTGAGGACTGTGTATATGTTTTGCTTTTATTTAAAGTACAGTTATGTTCTGAAAATGAATACAGGAAACTTCTTGATACAAATGGTGGACAAACCAACTAGGAGAGGAGCGCTGCTGGATCTTGTGCTCACCATCAAGAAAGGTCTGGTTGAAGCGGTGAAGGTCAATGGCAGCCTTGACCGCAGTGATCACGAGATGGTGGAGTGCAGGATCCTGTGTGGGAGGAACAGAATACCTAGCAGGACCAGAACCCTGGACTTCTGCAGGGCCAACTTTGGCCTCTTCAATCAATTATTTAGAGAAGTCCCATGGGGCAGGGTACTAGATGGTAAAGGGGCTCAAGATAGTTGGTCAACATTCAAGGACCACTTCTTGCAAGCTCAGGATCAGAGCATCCCAATGGGTAGGAAATCAAGCAAGGGAGCCAGGAGACCTGCATGGTTAAACAAGGAACTGCTGGGCAAACTCAAGTGGAAAAAGATAACCTATGGAACATGAAAGGAGGGGCTGGCCACTTGGGAGGAATATAGGACTGTTGTCATAGGATGTAGGGAGGCAATTAGGAAAGCTATGGCCTCCTTGGAACAAAACCTTGCTAGGGAGGTCAAAGACAATAGAAAGAGCTCCTTCAAATACATTGCAGATAGAACTAACACTAGAGGCAATATAGGCCCACTGCTGAATAAGGTGGGTGCCCTGGCGACAGAGGATATACAGAAGGCAGAGGTACTGAATGCCTTCTTTGCCTCTGTCTTTACTGCTGCAGACTCACCCCAGCAGCCCCAGATCCCTAAAGCCCTAGAAGAAGTCAGGATGAAGGAGGAGTTTGCTTTGGTAGATGAGGATTGGGTTAGGGATCAGTTAAGCAATCTGGACATCCATAAATCAATGGGTCCGGATGGAACACACCCACGGGTGCTGAGGGAACTGACAGAGGTCATTGCTAGGCCACTCTCCGTCATCTCTGGTAAGACATGGGCAACAGGGGAGGTGCCTGAGGACAGGAGGAAAGCAAATGTCACTCCAGTCTACAAGAAGGGCAAGAAGGAGGACCCAGGTAACTATAGACTGGTCAACCTCACCTCCATCTCTGGAAAGGTTGATGGAATAACTTGTTCTTGGCACTATCTCTAGGCATATCAAGGATGAGGGGGATCATTAAGAACAGTCAACATGGTTTTACCAAGGCTGTTGTTTGACAGATTCTACTTACCTAAAGCTGTGCAAACAAGCTGAAAACTAAGAGTGAAGACAACTGTCAGCTGTAACTGGTGATGCACAAGGAGGGAAAAATGAGATTTCAACTTAAATTCTCAAAAATAGCCCTTCCTGTAAAGAAACTTATGTTTAATAACCTGAATGTATTTCTTTAGTATACATAAAGCCTCTCTCAATTATGTTAACATTTGTTTATCACATGGAAATGTTTAGCAGAAGGAGCATTTTGGAGCTTCAGTGCAGATTATTCAAAAGTGTTGAAGATATTGCTTAATCTGGTTGTATGATTGTAACTGAGGATACAGCATGGATTTCGAAGAACCTGTTTGGCCATTCTGAGCCAAATCAAGAGCCATTTGGGGTTTTCTGGGGACAGGGCAAGTTATTTTTACAAAGTTATGCAGGTTTCATGGCAAATGAGTATTTAGTTTAGTTAATCTAGGGACTATGGAAAATGCAGTAGCTATTATCCTTTATAAGCATGTTGTTTGTAGTAGTTTGAAATCACGCTAGAATGGTGAAGTTAAAGACTGCTCAGATATGTAGCTTTTAAATAGATGTTCATTCATATACTTTAAAAATCCATTTAAAATTTAGTAATTTGCTGCCTGTCAGTGATGGCAATCTTGAAAGCATTTCAGTAAATCATATTGAATCACTCTGCATTCTTTAGATAATATCAATAAAATTTTAGCTTTCAGTAGAAAACTTATTGACATGTGTTAATTTAGATAGTCATTGGCACCAATGTATAAAAATCTACTGCATAAACCAGTACTGTGAATGATACTGTCATTGAAATTGTAAGAGAACTGTAGTGCAATTTGGTTATTTTATTCACTTTTCTTTATTTCTTTTTAGTGAGTTTGTCCTTTTGAAATATGAGCATTTAGTACAGCTGTATGGCTATAGAATATACTTGAACTGATGGGTTTTATCGTTGCTTTTCCAGCTAAGACATTTAGGAAATGATGAAGTACACATTGTCTGGTCAGAGCACACTCGAGATTATAGAAGAGGAATCATTCCAACAGAATTTGGTGACGTACTTATAGTTATCTATCCCATGAAAAACCATATGTTCAGTATCCAGATAATGAAAAAGCCTGAGGTAAGAGTTTTTTCTTTTGTGGTCCTTTGTATGCTTAATATGACCTGAGTTTTGTTTAGAGCCTGAGTTTTTGGTATAACAGATTGATCCAACAAGGTGATGTGTCTTTAACATTGACAAGGGCAGTGGTGGTAGGAGGAAGAGCTCAGTGAGTACAATGCTTAATAAAATCAGTAACTTGAAACGGCAAAGACCTGATCCTGTCAAATGTATCTGCTAACATTCTAAAATGGAAACTTAACTATAATACCCTGCATAATCATTTGAAGATAAACTTGACAAACTTTTAAAACAAGTTTGATATGTGATTGTGGGAGTTGAATAGTGGCCTGTTCCAGACTTCTCCATCCATATCATATTCCCCTTTCTTCTCAAAGCTAGTTTTCACTTTCTCCTTGGCTCCCTACAACGATCTGGAGATGAATTCCATAAATTCAGCTCTTAGGCGTATAAACACACACT